ACACATATATACATGCTTTATATGTTTAATATAAATTTTTACAACATATATATATATATATATACAGATAGGTCTGGTCGTGAAACTGGTTGGTCACGAATCTCCCTTTCCTTAATTAATATGTATTTTTTTGTATGAAATACTGCTATTTGCACCGAGAGTTCATTAATCAAATTTAGTTCAGAATTATTATTATAAATATTAAATAGTAATAATTTTATTACTCTCTCTCTCTCTCTCCCTTTCCATCCATCCCTTTCCCTTTTCAACCTAATTATAAATTAGTGACAGACATCGTATAAATATAAATGAATTTTTATTTAACTATAGTTTTGTTGTTTGAAAAGCTACTAAATTATTGAAATGTCTAATAATAATAATTTTTTGTTCCTTAAATACATTGAAAACTAATGACTGCAACAAATTAATTAATTAATTTAATTTGTAATATCAATGTGTCTTAATTAAAAAGTAAGGTCACATATCTCTCTGAATATCCCATAAAATATATATATATATATATATTTATACATTAAAAGCTAAATTGTAAATATTATTTGCTATTTAATTACTATGAATGCTATCAATTGATAGGAAAAATGTTTATTTTTAATTAAGATTTCTAATGCAAACATAAATTTAATTTAATGAATAGATTGTCATTGTATTACAACTATTGTTTAGCATTTCATAAATATACAGTATATAACAGTATATAAATACATTGTAAACAATATATCACAATATTATATTRTCTATATCATACTATAATTTACCAAGATATATTACCAAAAATATATATATATATATTATAGTAATACAACATTTCTATACAGTATTAACAACACAATAGTTAACCAGTTTTGACAAATTAGTGCTTAAAACAAATGATTTTTTTTGCAAACAAATGCAACTTTTAATAATACAATAGTAATAAAAGTATTTAAATTTTCTGTAGTTTTATTTAAAAACAATTTTGTTGCCAAATATTTTATTTGTTATTTAATAATATTGTTGACGAAACAAACAATTTAAAAAAAGAGAAATGCATTGTCTAACACTACATATTATTATTTATCACATAACACTTGAGTAGTAATTTGTTGGTTAATCTCATTATGGGCTCAATATATATATGTATGAGAAGCCGCTTATGATCTAAAGTTTTACTATACTATTAAATACAGCAAAAATGAGAGAGAGAGAGAGAGAGAGAGAGAGATCCTATCAAACTATTAAGTGTAGCGCAAAAAAATGCAATTTTGTCTACAATTTGTAGATAGAAACCAATGGTTAGTCATATGCAGTAATATAACATATGTATAGTGAAAGAGAGAGAGAAAAAAACATTATGCGGTTAATCTAAAGTTTTACCAAAACTATTAGCTTTTTTCGACTAAAACTATTCACTTATTATACTTGACTTAACATTACAAACACAATACAACAATAACTGTTACATAACAACAACATCTTTCTATAAATTGTTGTTCAGTTTGTTTGCTGTTAAAACAACATAACATGTCTTATGTTTACCCATTTGGATATATGAGTTCCTCAGATGGTTTGGACGGAAAAATAACAACAAAAACAAAACCCAAACCCAATATGATGTGTCTGTCAAATATCATTAACTTATGGCTCACATGTTATTTGTCATTAACAGTAGGACAGCCAACTCTATATGCTATCCTTTAACTCCAAATAAAAATTTTGAGATATATAAGTTATATACACTGTATATATATATATATAAAAACACTAACACATATTAAATATAATAAAATAATATATAATCATTTTGGTTAATCTTTGACACGAAAAAATAAAAGGAAATATTAAAATACTTAATTAACGTTGCAATTCATGTAATCATTTATTATATATGAATCCCTTTTCATGTTAAGGATATTTACCGAAAAATTTATATGTCATTAATTTATCAAAAAATATAATATATTAATTATATATATACTAAAACAATTTTACATTAATTAAATTTTTGTTAATTGACTTTTTAGTTGAATTGTATAAGAAATTGTATTAAAATCTTAAATGTTTATTAAAAATACTGTTTTCTCTCATATCTACTATATTGTGCGTTAAACTAAATTAAATATTATATATTATATAAATATAATAATAATGTTTTCTCTAAAAATGATTTATTTTTATGTTTAGATTTGTGTTGATATTTAATTTATTTGTAAATTACATTTTATATGATCTCCGAGTATATCTCTAATATAAGTCGTCGGATATAATAATTTTAATTATTTTTTTAAATGTGATCTAAAGTGAAAAATTAAAAATAAATTGTTTTCTTTAGTATTTTGTATGTTTGGTTTATTTTACAGCAAAACATCTGACAGTGACTTAAAGTGACTAAAAAAAAGTTTATGAAATTAAAAGTATATTTCATATGAATTCAAGCATTAATTTTATGCTTTGAATTATTATTTTTGTGTTTTGAATCATATATTTTTTTGTACAAAATGTATGTGTAAGTTGTATGAGATTTAAAGTGGGGTTAGATTTGGCACTGGTATGTGAATGGATAAATGTATATATGTATGTATGTATATATTATGTAACAGTGCAAACAAACACATATCCCACTGTTTTAATACTTATAAATGTCACATATATTTCTTTGTTTGTATAAATATAAAGAGTCAACTAAAGTATTAGTTATGAAAAAATACTAAAGTATTATAACAGTGTTTATGTAACCCGAGGTTTGACTTAAGTTTTTTTTCTCAGTGTATGTGTAAGTGGCGTAACACTTGAAGATCTATAACATAACGATTTTTAATATTATTTTAATTAACTTAAAAATATTTGGAAAAAATAYTTTTTAAATTTTTTACTGCTTTATAATTATGTAAAAAGTTTAAAATAATTAACAACAAAAAATTATTAAAAAACTTTTTGATGAAATACAGTATATGAATATAATTTATTATTATTTTTTGGAAAATTGCTAAATAAATTATAAAAGTATTTTTGGAAAAATTTACTTTTATATAATATACAGATAACAATGCTATACAGTATATCACACAACATTTATCAAGATATTGATAAAAAACAATTTTGTTAACATATGTGATAATATTCTGTATAAACATTATTGAGAGGCAAACTATTTTTTCTATAAAAAATAGTTTATATTTTGCAACAACAATAAAATAATTTTCCTATACATTCATAAATCAAAATCAATATAAATCTTATCGCATAATAAAAAAATAGTCAGTGAAAGAAATAGATTGAGAAATAAATAATAAGCTAAACTAAAAACAAAACAAAAAAATTAGAAACAGAAAATTTTCACCAAAATATTTTATTTATATATAACGATATAATTGACGAGTTTATTGTGGAAAATATACAAAACAATCACTAAATTTTAGAAAGTACTGTCTATTATGCCGTATATATAACTATTTTGACGGATGTCTTAGTGTGTCCGCCACTACCACCACATACTAGTTCTCCAGAAGTTTAGTTACTCTGTAGACAATACCATCAGTAGAGCACAGTTATCGATGGCTCAGACATCCATATACTAGTATATATATATATATATATATATATATATATATATATATATATATATATATATATATATATATATATATATATATATATCTGATTTTTATTTTGTTGTTGCATCCGATTAGCCATAAGCTTCATAAAAATCAATGTAACATTACTTTAATAAACAAAACAACAACAAAAATATTTATACCCAGAATTACAATACAATTTTCTCTAACATTTTTTTACTCATACACTTCTACTACTCACTAAATATACTGTATATAACTTTATTACTAAAAATAGTAGGAAAATATAATAACAATATTTCTATTCAATGATTCATTTTTAATATAAAAAAATAGTATTTTCTACATATATTACAACAATTTTTTTTTGGTTACTTAAGTTATTTATATATCTAAAGTATATATAAAGTTATCTTTTATTATAAGAGTTGTCACATTAAATGTCATTTCAATCCTTCAGAAACCAATCTTTTTTTAAAAAAAAGAAAAATATTATCAGTTGAGACAGTAATAAGAAATTTATAAATATATATATATTAAATATTAGTTAACAATAAGACGTTTAGTTAAATTCAATAAAAAAAATTTATTTGTGTAATTGTATGTCAAATATTGTATTTTTTAAAATTAAAGCTAATATTTTTCTCGTTTAAAAAACTATTATTTCACAGTATGTTTTAATGTTGAATTATAATGACAAACGCGTTATATTTAAAATGTTTATTAATATATTTTCAAACATTAAGCACTAGTTTGTCACATTGTGTTTGATTTTTTTAATTACCAAACATTTTTGACGTTCACTTAGTAATGTTATTTTTTTTTTGATCAAATTGTTTTAAACAATTTAAAAATAAAGTAATAATAAAAATACTTTATTTTCTTAATACTAATCAAACTATTAATATATTTTTAAAAATATCTATTTCTACTAATTTTTTATATTTTAACAATTTCACACAAAATTAACATTAAAATATTAAGTTAATTCAAAATTTTCTCATATTTATTACATATACTGTAATTTATATATTATTTTGATTTTTGCTAATTTGTGGTATAGTATTACTTGTACGGCAATTAAATGAATGATAAATGCCTGAAATAATACAATTATAATATTAGCTGAATGTCTTGCATTGTATTGTATTTTCCTGTATGTATTACATTAGATATTACAGCAGAATATTCCTGCAGTAATGTTAACAAGAATTTGCAAGCATTGCATGATTTTTTAGTAGAGATAAGTTTAATACTATTGTATTATATGATAATAGCATCTCATTATAGCCCACACCAAATCCAACCCTAATTGTTACTCAAACAACAATTGACTTATAAATAAATAGACATATCTATAAATATATACCACAAGAGAGCATCTCAAATGTTATCATTAATTTGTATACAAATATTTTATACGATTAGCTCTATTATCAGGAACTTTACGGACATTTCAAGTGCACGCCTGTGATGGAGAGGAACTGCGGTTAGAGTGTCCGACCAATACAGTCATCAGTATCTACTTTGCCCAGTATGGCAGCACAGTGCCATCCCATCAATTATGTCCCGCTCTGACAGCACCGGTAGATTCGAGCGCACAGTCATCGCCGTCAACGATAACATTAAGCAATGCATCAAATAATGTAACCATAAATGATACAAACGATTGTCTCGCATCCGACACATTAAGGGTAATAATAATTGAATTGTTAAAAATATCTAATTATTAATAATGATACTAAAAATATATATATTTATTATTTGCTAATTGTGTTTTATAACTAAAAATACTTATTTTTTATAAAAAAAAATATAAACTAACACTAAAATTAATTTCATTGTTAATTGCAGTACTCTTTGTTGCAAAAAGTTGAGTCTTCATGTCGTGAACAGAGAATCTGTAAATTCATGACATCTCCGCAATCGTTTGGAGGCATAGATCCCTGTCCTGGAGTCAGAAAATATGCCGAAATTGCATTTAAATGCAGACCCAGTATGTTATTAATTAATTAATTATTAAATATGAATTTATCTGAAATTAATAATTTTATTGTACTTTTTTTAGACACATTTTACAATCGGGTTGTCTGTGAAGGCGATCGACTTCGGCTCAAATGTCACCGAACTTCAAGAATTGTCATTTATTCGGCCACATTCGGGTCAAGTCAATCGGGTGTTGCCGAATGTCCCCAATTGGACGGCGGCGGCCAACCGGTTGCTCAATCATTACGACCGCCTGAAGAATGTATGGTCAGTTACGCCACCGAAACAGTGATGAGTTCGTGTCACGGCCGCAAAAAGTGTTCGTTGGACGCCGATATCGGTACTTTTGGTGAACCTGGCTGTTCAAAAGCTACCCGATTGCACCTGAAAGTGGTCTATACATGTGTACCTAGAGATGTACTCAAAGAGCTGGACATTGGCGTTACCGACAGCGATAAAAATGCTGGAAGCGATTCAACGGCCACTAATGAAGACACTGATGATTCGGGTTTTGTTGATGAGCCCCGATATATACCCGAACATGAAGTGCCGTCTTCTACTGGATTACCCGATAAGGTGAACAATAAGAAGGATATCAATAGAAAATCGCAAAAAAGTGATATTATGATGAAAAACAATTATAATATTATTAATAATAACAGTGCAGACAGTGATGTTAACTGTACACTGATATCGCCGCCCGAGAAAGTAGTTGGCTTTATATCTGACTGGATATCAGCCGTTAATTTTATTAAAAGTATTATATATTTTATTTTATTAAATTACCGATAAATTTAAAAATTTTAATTATATTTATTTATTATTAGAAAATACTGAACGTTTTATACTATACTTATTGGTGTCATTGTGCGGATCGTTAGTCTGTTTTCTAGTGGTTCTCTCCTCTCGACTATTCATACAGAAACGCAAAGTGGAGAAAAAAGTCAAAGAAGATATACCCGTTTGCAGTCCGTTCGGTGTACTAACCGATGATAACGGCGACGATCTGTTGGACGGTCTCGAAGGAGTGACAACACTGACCGAACCGCTCAATCTTAGTCACAATCATAGCCATCATCACACCATACAAGTGGTCCGTTACGGTCAAAATGGTGGCAACAATGGAGCTAACGGTGCCGGCAATAGTAGTACAATGACGAGGACATCATCGATGAGACGACAAAATAGTGATACAAATCCACGATCGCTATCCAGAAGTTTAAATAATTATTACTATAATTGATGTCTTATTTAAAATAAATAAGATTTTTTCTCAAGAAAAAAATATATAATAAATTTTGACTAATTTATACTAATTAATAGAAATTTTATACTAAAATTTTTAAAAATAATTATTGTATAGTAATTAAGTACTAAATGACAAACATAAATACTATTATAGAATTTTTATTTTAAGTTATTTAATATAATCAAATTTATTTTAAAAATTTGTATTTAAAATTATAATTATTGTAATGTATAATAAACTTAGTAATGAATTACCAAAATATGTTTGTATTATGTATTGAAAGATATTATGGCATTTGTTTTCTAAATTAATTTTACAATTGATAACAATTAAAGTGTAAATTATAATTATTTATTCATCAAATTTTATTATTCATTAAAATTAATTTAAATCATATTCTGTAAATAGTGAAAAAATAACAAATAAAGATAATTCATTAAATTATAATTTATATAAAATTTTTATTTAAATCATACTTTTAAGTTAAATATTAATAATTAACATATATAAATAAAAATAATTGATTATTTCTTAATGACATTTGAATTTGAATCATAATCAACACCAACATCCCATACATGGATGTGCTTCTCTCCATGTTTGAAGATTTCCGGTATATATACATAAACGTTACGATATTTATTGCATTGAAGATCACAATAAGGTTGACCAATGATGACATTCCAATGTCCAGAATCATTGAAACTAATAATCAAAATTTAATTTACAAATAATAATAAATTAAGTTATAATTATATTTTTAATGATATCATTTTTTAGGGTATGATATTTAATATACTATAGTGTATATGAATGTAATGTATATCTGATTGTACAGTATATTCAATATTGATATTTGTTTGGAAATATAATTTTATTAAACAGTAATGATATGAATGCTTAGTTTGTAATACAATTAAAATCTTTTTCAAACCTCAATCCATAATTTTTGTGTCTTTTCTGATCTCTTATATTGAATTTGAATGTCTTTGCAAAGTCTTTATCGAAGTCTTTTAGTTCATCATAAGTCCATTCAATGATATTAATTATGCGATTCATTTCATGCAAAGGGAGTAATAGAGGTTTGTTCTGACCTAAAGCCACGCATTCCTATTAAACATTTTTAGAAAAAAAATATTATTTATATTTCAAGAATTATGTTTTATTTTATTAAAAATGAATCATTAAATAGAAATATTGTTATTATATTTTCCTACTATTTTTAGTAATAAAGTTATATACAGTATATTTAGTGAGTAGTAGAAGTGTATGAGTAAAAAAAATGTTAGAGAAAATTGTATTGTAATTCTGGGTATAAATATTTTTGTTGTTGTTTTGTTTATTAAAGTAATGTTACATTGATTTTTATGAAGCTTATGGCTAATCGGATGCAACAACAAAATAAAAATCAAAGAAATATATATATATATATATATGGATGTCTGAGCCATCGTATTGCTGACTGCTCTACTGATGGTATTGTCTACAGAGTAACTAAACTTCTGAAGAACTAGTATGTGGTGGTAGTGGCGGACACACTAAGACATCCGTCAAAAAAGTTATATATATATATATACGGCATAATAGACAGTACTTTCTAAAATTTAGTGATTGTTTTGTATATTTTCCACAATAAACTCGTCAATTAAATCGTTAAATATAAATATAATATTTTGCTGAAAATTTTCTGTTTCTAACTTTTTTTGTTTGTTTTTAGTTTAGCTTATTATTTATTTCTCAATCTATTTCTTTCACTGACTATTTTTTTATTATGCGATAAGATTTATATTGATTTTGATTTATGAATGTATAGGAAATTTATTTTATTGTTGTTGCAAAATATAAACTATTTTTTATAGAAAAAATAGTTTGCCTCTTATATAGTTATATAATAAATATATGTTAATACCTTATTTTTTTTAGGTGTTTTTGATGCTCTTTTTAGGTCGACATTTAGGCGACTCCTCTCAATATCTGGTGTCTCAACATTTTTGTCCTTAGATTTGCCATTCTTTGAATCTTTCTTTTTTGAAGACATTACTCTAATAAACTAAAAATTATAATAATAATTGAATTTTAAATTAAATAAGTGTAATAATATTGTTGTATTGTGTTTGTAATGTTAAGTCAAGTATAATAAGTGAATAGTTTTAGTCGAAAAAAAGCTAATAGTTTTGATAAAACTTTAGATTAACCGCATAAATCTTAATACCTATTTATTGTCTAATAACTATATTGTAAAACAATTCACACTTCGGGTAATTTAGGTACGATTTAGGCTATTAATTGGTCCGTAACGGTGACACAGACAGAGACACAATAATTAAGAAATTGATACTATCAATGCTATAAAAGTGACTTTTATTATTATTAACCAAAAAATCACTGAAAAATAATAAAATTTTTGAATCAAATAATTGATTTGTCAAATAATTTCAAATATTGACAAAAATAATTTAACTGTAATGTAATATAAAGAATGTGACATTTAATTACGAGACTAACTATACTTTAATAATATTTTGATTTTATTTAATATAATTAAATTGATTACAATTATCAATAGCATAATAACTCTGACAGTAAACTGTTTGGACATTTGAATCGGTCTTTTTTGTCACATTTGGTTCATTAATGGACACCGACGGCCACACCGGCAATAGTGATGACCGAGTGATTAAAGTCGAAGCCTATGACCATTACAATCGCCAATCGGTTTGTACGACACGCAGCCGATACCGGTCGGGTCGGCGCGAGACGGCTGTCAAAGTGATGACAATTTGCGATGAGTCCCGATATTTGCTGATACATCGGGTGCACGACATTAAGGGTGATGTCAAACAAGAGTTACACCGTCTGTGTCACCGTTACGGACCAATTGATAGCCTAAATCTTACGGATTACCCGAAGTGTGAAGAGTTTACAAAAGTCTATCTCATTAAATATCGTCGGTTTGTGGACGCCGTGAGGGCCAAGAAATCACTGGACGACCGAAACTTTTTGGGATCTGTTTTGCACGTGTGTTACGCACCAGAGTTAGAAACATTGGATGAAACCAGAGATAAATTGCATCAGAGATTGACTTACGTGTCTCGTATGTCATCCAAGAAGTATAATATTTGACTTTAATTACAAAATTTATTTTCAATTTAATTATTATTTTCTTTTTATATAAGATCTGAGAAACAAACGACCGGCCAATCAATAGTAACAGAAGATATGGATACGACTGACGATAATATTAATGAAAGTGTCAAACAATCAAATGAAGACATGATTGCTAAGAATAGACAGAATTTGAAGCGAAAGTTTGATGTAATTAGAGATAAATTTGTGGCGGATTTGAAACAAACCAATACTACTGCACATCAATCAACATCTGAGGCAAAGATGAAAGAGACGCCACGTATCAGATGGAGAAAGTGATCGACTCTTGAAATCTTAAGTGTGTTTGTTTTGATGGATGTCTTTCTGTTATTTTAGGTAATAATTTCTTTATTAAATATCTTTATTTGTTATCAATGGTAGCACTCAGTGATTCATTTCATTCAATGAAATCATTTGTTTTTGATTGAATTGTTATCAACTTTTATTTGAGTGCAAAATCATAGACACTCGCAATACCAGGACTTACAATGTCTTGAGAGTCATTGATTGTCAAATCAGAATTCGTCACAACGACGGCGGCAAAAGATAAACAGAAGACGAGTCAAAGACCAACGCATTGACGAACACAATGACAACGATTTGTCATTTGATCAGCCAATGGACTCGTCGTTTGATTCGTCGGCCGAACTGCTGATCAAACCATCGATTGATACGCCAATTAAGTCGAGAAATTCAAAATTTTTTTAACTAATTTTTGGACACCATTTTCTTCAATTTCCTAAAAAATAAACTTAAATAAGAAAAAAAAATATAGTGGATTCGACTTGTCCTCGTGGGACAGACAGACTTATAGCACATAATAAGGACTTCGTGATATATTTTAAAAAAAATTCATTATTAAATTAAGTTATATAAAAAATAACGTTAAATTTCAAAATACACACATTGAAAAAATGGTTAATTTTTAATATTTTCAATTAAAATTAAAAATTTATTGTCCATCAAAAAACAATATTGAACTTTAATAGCACATAATAACCGCATATATTTTACCTAAAAATTATTATTAAATTTCAAAATACACACATTGAAAAAATGGTTAATTTTTAATATTTTCAATTAAAATTAAAAATTTATTGTACATCAAAAAACAATATTGAACTTTAATATTAAACGACATATATTTTACATATTATTAAATTTCAAAATACATACATTGAAAAAATGGTTAATTTTTAAAATTTTATTGTCAAAAAAACAATACACACACATTAAATAAAAAAAAAATTATTATTAAATTTCAAAATTAAATTTATTAAAATTAAAAATTTATTGTACATCAAAAAACAATATTGAACTTTAATAGCACATAATAACCGACATATATTTTACCTAAAAATTATTATTAAATTTCAAAATACACACATTGAAAAAATGGTTAATTTTTAATATTTTCAATTAAAATTAAAAATTTATTGTCCATCAAAAAACAATATTGAACTTTAATAGCACATAATAAGCGACATATATTTTACCTAAAAATTATTATTAAATTTCAAAATACACACATTGAAAAAATGGTTAATTTTTAATATTTTCAATTAAAATTAAAAATTTATTGTCCATCAAAAAACAATATTGAACTTTAATAGCACATAATAAACGTCATATATTTTACCTAAAAATTATTATTAAATTTCAAAATACACACATTGARAAAATGGTTAATTTTTAATATTTTCAATTTAAAATTTAAAAAAAAACAATATTGATTGAATAAACATATATTTTACAAAAAATTATTAAATTTCAATATTGAAAAAATTTAATAATATTTTCACATAAAAAACAATATTGAACTTTAATAGCACATAATATATATTTTACCTAAAAATTATTATTAAATTTCAAAATACACACATTGAGAAAATGGTTAATTTTTAATATTTTCAATTAAAATTAAAAATTTATTGTCCATCAAAAAACAATATTGAACTTTAATAGCACATAATAACCGACATATATTTTACCTAAAAATTATTATTAAATTTCAAAATACACACATTGAAAAAATGGTTAATTTTTAATATTTTCAATTAAAATTAAAAATTTATTGTATAATTTTTAATATTATTATTAAATTTCAAAATACACACATAAAAAATGGTTAAAATATTTTCAATTTATTGTCCATCAAAAAACAATATTGAACTTTAATAGCACATAATAAACGACATATATTTTACCTAAAAATTATTATTAAATTTCAAAATACACACATTGAAAAAATGGTTAATTTTTAATATTTTCAATTAAAATTAAAATTAAAAATTTATTGTCCATCAAAAAACAATATTGAACTTTAATAGCACATAATAACCGACATATATTTTACCTAAAAATTATTATTAAATTTCAAAATACACACATTGAAAAAATGGTTAATTTTTAATATTTTCAATTAAAATTAAAAATTTATTGTCCATCAAAAAACAATATTGAACTTTAATAGCACATAATAAACGTCATATATTTTACCTAAAAATTATTATTAAATTTCAAAATACACACATTGAAAAAATGGTTAATTTTTAATATTTTCAATTAAAATTAAAAATTTATTGTCCATCAAAAAACAATATTGAACTTTAATAGCACATAATTACCGACGAAATTTCATATATTTTACCTAAAAATTATTATTAAATTTCAAAATACACACATTGAAAAAATGGTTAATTTTTAATATTTTCAACTAAAATTAAAAATTTATTGTCCATCAAAAAACAATATTGAACTTTAATAGCACATAATTACCGAYATATATTTTACCTAAAAATTATTATTAAATTTCAAAATACACACATTGAGAAAATGGTTAATTTTTAATATTTTCAATTAAAATTAAAAATTTATTGTCCATCAAAAAACAATATTGAACTTTAATAGCACATAATAAACGTCATATATTTTACCTAAAAATTATTATTAAATTTCAAAATACACACATTGAAAAAATGGTTAATTTTTAATATTTTCATTTAAAATTAAAAATTTATTGTACATCAAAAAACAATATTGAACTTTAATAGCACATAATAACCGACATATATTTTACCTAAAAATTATTATTAAATTTCAAAATACACACATTGAAAAAATGGTTAATTTTTAATATTTTCAACTAAAATTAAAAATTTATTGTCCATCAAAAAACAATATTGAACTTTAATAGCACATAATAACCGACATATATTTTACCTAAAAATTATTATTAAATTTCAAAATACACACATTGAAAAAATGGTTAATTTTTAATATTTAAAATTAAAAATTTATTGTACAATTAAAAATTTATTGTACATCAAAAAACAATATTGAACTTTAATAGCACATAATAAACGTCATATATTTTACCTAAAAATTATTATTAAATTTCAAAATACACACATTGAGAAAATGGTTAATTTTTAATATTTTCAATTAAAATTAAAAATTTATTGTACATCAAAAAACAATATTGAACTTTAATAGCACATAATAAACGTCATATATTTTACCTAAAAATTATTATTAAATTTCAAAATACACATATTGAAAAAATGGTTAATTTTTAATATTTTCAACTAAAATTAAAAATTTATTGTCCATCAAAAAACAATATTGAACTTTAATAGCACATAATAAATATATTTTACCTAAAAATTATTATTAAATTTCAAAATACACACATTGACATATATTTTACCTAAAAATTATTATTAAATTTCAAAATACACACATTGAAAAAATGGTTAATTTTTAATATTTTCAATTAAAATTAAAAATTTATTGTACATCAAAAAACAATATTGAACTTTAATAGCACATAATAAACGTCATATATTTTACCTAAAAATTATTATTAAATTTCAAAATACACACATTGAAAAAATGGTTAATTTTTAATATTTTCAATTAAAATTAAAAATTTATTGTACATCAAAAAACAATATTGAACTTTAATAGCACATAATAACCGACATATATTTTACCTAAAAATTATTATTAAATTTCAAAATACACACATTGAAAAAATGGTTAATTTTTAATATTTTCAATTAAAATTAAAAATTTATTGTACATCAAAAAACAATATTGAACTTTAATAGCACATAATAAACGTCATATATTTTACCTAAAAATTATTATTAAATTTCAAAATACACACATTGAAAAAATGGTTAATTTTTAATATTTTCAATTAAAATTAAAAATTTATTGTACATCAAAAAACAATATTGAACTTTAATAGCACATAATAAAAATTTATTGTACATCAAAAAACAATATTGACATATATTTTACCTAAAAATTATTATTAAATTTCAAAATACACACATTGARAAAATGGTTAATTTTTAATATTTTCAATTAAAATTAAAAATTTATTGTCCATCAAAAAACAATATTGAACTTTAATAGCACATAATAAACGTCATATATTTTACCAAAAAATTATTATTAAATTTCAAAATACACACATTGAAAAAATGGTTAATTTTTAATATTTTCAATTAAAATAAAAAATTTATTGTCCATCAAAAAACAATATTGAACTTTAATAGCACATAATAAACGTCATATATTTTACCTAAAAATTATTATTAAATTTCAAAATACACATATTGAAAAAATGGTTAATTTTTAATATTTTCAACTAAAATTAAAAATTTATTGTCCATCAAAAAACAATATTGAACTTTAATAGCACATAATAACCGACATATATTTTACCTAAAAATTATTATTAAATTTCAAAATACACACATTGAAAAAATGGTTAATTTTTAATATTTTCAWTTAAAATWAAAAATTTATTGTACATCAAAAAACAATATTGAACTTCAAAATATACACATTGAAAAAATGGTTAATTTTTAATATTTTCAATTACAATAATAAAACTTTCAATTTAATAGCAGGTAATAGCACATAATAAACGTCATATATTTTACCTAAAAATTATTATTAAATTTCAAAATACACACATTGAGAAAATGGTTAATTTTTAATATTTTCAATTAAAATTAAAAATTTATTGTACATCAAAAAACAATATTGAACTTTAATAGCACATAATAAACGTCATATATTTTACCAAAAAATTATTATTAAATTTCAAAATACACACATTGAAAAAATGGTTAATTTTTAATATTTTCAATTAAAATAAAAAATTTATTGTCCATCAAAAAACAATATTGAACTTTAATAGCACATAATAAACGTCATATATTTTACCTAAAAATTATTATTAAATTTCAAAATACACACATTGAAAAAATGGTTAATTTTTAATATTTTCATTTAAAATTAAAAATTTATTGTACATCAAAAAACAATATTGAACTTTAATAGCACATAATAACCGACATATATTTTACCTAAAAATTATTATTAAATTTCAAAATACACATTTTTCGGGCATTCGGGCCAATTCGTGTGGAAAATCGGCCACAGCTGTCGGCACCAAAATTTTACCGCTGATTTCAAACAAACAATTGATAGATAATTGATTAATTTGAAAATTATATATATATATACTGTATATATATATTATAGAAACCTACCTGGGTGTATTGCCGAACGATTCCTTATAGTAACGCAGGGATGAGGTTATATTTCCTGTCAACCAATAGACGCTAATATTAGTCAACAAGTCGTCTAATTTAAATTTTTCTTCGAGACCACCGTTTTGTTTGGTAGTATTGTCTGGATTAGTCCACGTGGAAAACTTTTCCAATATATAAGCGCATAGACCTACTGGACTGTCTGTTAGTGCCGTACCAACTGAATCGGGTTTTGTAGACTGGATGTGCATATATCCCGATTCACGTAACAAAAACGTAAATTTCTCCCAAAACGGATACATCAGTGAATATTCATCGGTTGTCAAAAATAGTGACGGAATGTAAGCACCGATAATATAGCGAATTAGTGGCCAACCTCTCAAACTATATATACCGCCGATCATTGTTATATGAATTCCCCGAACACTAAACAAATTAATAAATATGAATATATAATAAACACTATAATAATCATTAATTTAGATTATATTATACTTTTCGGGATAAACTCTAGCCGTCGTCTGAGCGATGATTGATCCCCAGTCGCCGCCGTGAATGAAGAACTTTTTGTGTCCCAAACGACGCATTAGTTCCACAAATATCTGTGACGTTTGCGGTACACCAAAACCTTTGCGTTTGGGCGCCGAAGAGAAACCAAAACCGGGAATTGACGGACAAATCACTTCAAAGGCCACTCCGTTTTCTTCTTTAATGAGATGTTCAATGGCTGTCAAGTATTCAACCACCGAACCGGGCCATCCGTGGACAACCTGTTTAGACATTCAATTATAAAAACATATTTTTCGAATCTTTAATCGACAACAAACCAGAAGAGGAATGACTTTCTTTGCAGACTTTTCTGGTTTAATGTGAATGAAATGAACGTCCAATCCTTGGATTCGTGTCTTGTAATTCGGTAATCGATTGAATCTGTTTTCTTGATGACGCCAATCAAAATTGTGTCGCCAGTGATGGACAACTGTTTTCAAGTAGTCTCCATTGAATCCGTACTCAAATGCCGAGTCAATCAATGGTTCTGCAAATCGTGTGTTGTCTATACGTCTGTTGAGATCGTCTAACACTTCTTCCGAAACTTTCACTTCAAATGGTATAATATCTGTTGACTCGACGGGTAATGTCTGTCCTTCAGTCCATTGAACTTCATTTCCAAAATATTTTGCCTCAACTTTAGGCGGTTTTGGTGTTTGTTTGTCTTTCGGATAGAAAACCGCAAATATTGCCGACGATATCAATACAAGAAGTGTTGTGGCAATGAATTGAATCAATGGTGTCACCAAAAGTATGTCCAAACTATATCAATATAAACACATAATTAATATTAATTTTATATTAATTTTTCTTTTTGTTATAATATGACAATTATTAATAATTACGGTAAATATCTGAGACCCAGTGTTAACACAAATATAGATCCAATGAATCGTATAATGAATGACATCTTTAGTTTGTTTAGTATCCGAAAGTCAAACAAATAATATAAAAATTTTTATTATTTATTTAACTTATATTTAAACTGAAATTATTTTTTTTTGTCAAATATGTTTATCAGTTAAAATTTATAATAAATAAAAATTATTTTTTATATATCAGTTAACATATATACATCCTTGAAATAATTATTTTTAAATCTGCATTTAGTTATTTTATTTAACAAAATTGCACTTAAATTACACTCAGATATCACAATATAATTTAAACTAAAAGTACTCAATATTTTCAATTATATTATTATAAGTTATGAAAAGTACTGTAAATATATATATTAACAATAATAATGTTAAATAACAATCTTATCGCTACTTTGACTCTATTTTGAATCTATATCTTTGAATCTATATAATATTATATAATGAAATCCATCTTATCTTTTAAGAAAATAGTTTTTTTTGTTTATTTATATGTCTGATACTTAATGCTTTAAAGCAATGTTATTTCTATGGGAATTTTTTTTTGAGCACCGGTAGGTTAGAAGGACAGGTCTATGAAAATATATTTTGAGGCCGATGAATTTAAGGTATGAGTCACCTGGAAGTAAGCTAACCATGAAAAATTGTCGCAATTTTTTTTGTAAAATTTTTAAATAAATACAGCAGTTTTGTTAAATTAGATTCCGTGTTATGCGGGGTAAACTAGTATATTATAATACATATTAACAATGTATTCTGTTTTATGACAAAATTTATTAAACAAACAAAAATAATATAATAAAATAATACATAAATTTATAACAATATTCAAATAAATTTAATCATTTAAAGGATTTGTATTCTACATATTTATATTTTATCAAAATTATATGTATAAATTATTTTTGTTGTTACTGTATATTTTAAAAAATTATATTGGCATATGTAAATGTAATTAATAATATTATCTTAAAGTATACTGAATATAAACATTTATTATATAAAGTTTATAAATAGTACTTATTATATCAATTATGACAAGTTATCATTTTGCACATTCACTAGTATGTATAATACTTTATATATATATATATATATATTTTTAAAACTAATGTATATAATTATTGTTAAAATATGCTAGCTTATTTTTAAGGTGATTAGCAATCAACCATGTTCATCAATCATATTATATAATAAGATTTTTACACTTTTATTTTATGTTTTAACAATAATTATAATATTTTTTCAAAATAATAAAAATAATTTAGTTATAGGACCTGTAGTCGTAATTTTCGATAGGCTTTCATTACACTTAAACAATGTGAGGATTCTATAATAGTTGTCTTATTTTGTTAGCACTACCTTCTAATGGTAAACTCGATAACATAAATATTTTTTTATAATTACTTATTTCTATAATATCTGTAGAAATTTTATCTTAAATTAGGGTAAATAAAACTTAACGGTAATTAAAAAAATATAACCACTTAATTAAAACTGAATTATTAATTTTATTAAATGATTTAATTATTATTGTTTAAAAAAYTATAACTAAAAACTAACGATAAAATAGAGAAACTGACTACAGTTGCTATTATTCAATAATCTAATAYTTGTAGTTAAATATATATTATTAGAAAATTTTTGATTTTTGTTCACAATATTATTATTAAATTTAATTTATTTTAAACGTACGGTAATTATCATAAATTTGTTTTGACTGTTAATTTATAAATATATATATCAGTACTGTTAGTATTTATAGTAAATTAAAATACCGGTAATAAAATTTTAATAATACTTTATTATAGTCTTATTTCAAAAATATATTTATAAAATAATTTTTACATTTTGTTTAAATAATTACTAAAAATTGATACAAAATTAATTATTATATACAGTATAAACTATTATTAGAATATAAAAAACAAAATATAAAATTTATTTTAATTATTATTAGACATCAAATATTAAATTTAGATATACTGTAAATCAATGATTAATTATTGGATTATTGTTATCAATTGAGATCAGTTCTCTAGACTTGTCTTCAATGTCTTCAACAATAACAACAAAAATGATAAAAACTGAGAGTTGTTTTTCAGTATATTTCTTATTACGTCTTGTTTTTGGGTAAAATTCCCAGTGATTGTAGACAAACACTGGCGGCCAATGCTTTCGCCTGTTTTTTGTTAGCGCACGAAACAGATGGCTGATACTCAACACCTTTGATGACAACCTAAATCATAACAATAACAATATATACGATAAAATTAATACCAAAAAAATATGACAACAAAATCAATGCCTTAAACGTAAAACACTTTCGATGAGGGGGTCCGTCGTCGGCCACCAATTGGTAGTCCGGAACAGACATTCTTTGTTTGGCACAAAGTTCTTGAAGAATAGATATCGGATTTTTTGCTGAATTTGTCGAGTTTTTGTCAAACGAGTCTTTACCGAACAACTGTAGCGGTAGATTGCGTGTTGTTTCCTGATCAGACATTAGACCTTTCTTATCGGTTTTGATGTCCAACATTATCGGATCTTTGACGCCCTCATTGTTTTTGCCTAATCCCTGACCCGGTGTCCAACCCATCTTCAACAGCAGATGCATACCGACACCGCCTGTAATGGGCGCCGCCCTCTTGAACTGATCCTATCGTTCAGATAAAAAAAATATCTTTGATATCAATAAAATGTTGACCAGAAAATCAAATGAATTCTATACCTTCCGAACCCATGCATCAAATGGTCCGTTAAGTTCGTCGGGTTTTAATATGTTGACTCCAGTACTGCCAATGTACTGTCCGGGAACTATCTTAGATTCTGCCCATTCATTCATCTAATAATAAAATAGACACAACGTTGACATTAAGATATTATCAATTTGTTGGTTACCCTACCATTTGATTAGCCTGGTACATTTGTTTGAGTGCCACAACATTTTGGGGATCTTCTTTAAGCTTATTCATTGCGGCCAACCGTTGAGCCATTACCGACCCGATATCGATTGGCATAACTGACTGTGGAAACACTGATTCACTTTTATTGGTCTCCGATTCGTTAACTGTTATGTTTGTGACGGCGCCGCTGGTAGTGGTATCTGTTGTGGTCGAGTCAATGGTTGTCGATTGAGTTTCAGAAGTGGAAGCAATGATAGGTATCAATGCTAATGATGATGATGTTGATGGTATTGATGGCATTTGTGGTCCAATTGGAGTGGTATCTGTTTGATGAACTATTGTAAAGGCTGGCGGTTGCTCTTCAAGTGTTTTTTGTTGTTGTTTTTCTTGTTGTTGTTGTTTACAAATCTGAGTCAAAACAGTATCTACACGTTTGCCAACTGGTTTTGGTGGCGGCATTATTGCCAATGGTTCCGTAACCTCAGTCCAGGTCAACTCATTTTCTTTACGGCGGTGTTGGCTACCACTGGATACAGGAAATTGTTCTCTTAGTTCAACGGYCAACACTTTGGCCGTACGACTCGGCAATTGCGGAAAATTTCGAATTCTCATAGAAATATCTTTACGTTCTCTCAGTTCAAACGGATGTCTTATTGAGAAAACGTGGTCTTTGTCTGACATCACCGAAATCGTGTCGTCGTCATAGTCTGAGTCGCACTCCGAGTCCGAAGCTATGGCCGATTCAAGTTGCGAAATGGCCCGACAAAACTCTGTATATTGTTGTACAGACTTTTGAGTTGTTAGTTCGCGAAGATGTCTTAATTTCAATTGTTTAATATCAGTTCCTTTTGGCAGAGTTCCCGATTCAATCATTTTAATTAAATTGCTTTTTGCGACCTCAAGAAGAGCCTGTTTATCGATAACATCTTCGGGTGCAACAGACGGCTCGCGACGGCTGTCTCGACGCCGTTCTTTGGTTTCAAACTTTCGGCGACTATAGCCGTCCTTAAAAAACGGTGTACAACTTCGTCGATCAGATCGACTACTTTTTGATAAACGACTAGTCGATGGCGACAGTGATCGTCGTCTGTCATCGCGTCGGTCGTAATCAAAAGGTGATCGACTTCGCGATCGATGTCTCCATTCGGACTCATATAACGGACTCAATGGTCTCGACTGATATCGTTTGCTCGAACCTCTGGGTCGGTCATCCATTCCTTCCCAATACGATCCGTAAAAGTAGTCTTCGTGTTGATTATCAGATCTACTCGTATAGTATGAGTYGTGTTGTAATTCGTATTCATCGGAAAATCTTTCTCTTTTGTGTCGTTTACTCGAAGACTCTTTGTTTTTGCTTGACTTGTGTTTTGAGGACGACTTCTCCAAATTCTTGTCTTTAGACTCGTCGGCAAACTCTTCGTCTCGAAACTCGATATCTCCATAACTTCGCAACTCTTTGGACATCAATAGTCGCATTACTTCCGAATTGTCTTCATTTTGTTTGTTTGCTAACAATTTTTTGTCGTCATTTTTCTCATCAGTTTTACTTTTCTTATGTTTTGACGACTTTTTCTTCGTCTTGTCATTTGTCGACTTTTTCATTGACCTTATCTTATCCGACGACTTATTCTTGTGTTTGTGATCTTTGTGTCTGTGTTTGTGATCCGATTTCTTGTGTTTTGTCGACGACTTTCTGTTGGTCTTGTCTTCTTCGCCGCCGCTGTCGATCTCTCCGTCCTCTTTGACAATTTCTCCGTCTTCACCGCCATTGTCCTCCTGTTTGAAGATAGTTTTAGTGATAACCGCGGCCAACAAATTGTCCAAATTGTCGGCCATTACGTGTTAACCACAATTGATGGCCGAAACCATTGATTTCAATGACTATTATTATTATTATAAACATAAACACTAATTGTTATCATTTGTTGTACGCATGCGTTCACAATAACAACAATCAATACAACAAAAACGTTTCAATTATGTGTCAAAAAAAAAAGTTTATTTAAATTTAATAAAGTTTTCAATTTATTCAATGATTGATATTTTGATTGAAACTATTTGACTATTTTTGATGAAATAAAAAAATTAGTTTTAAAAAATTTACATTTTTATTTATTTATTATTTTATTTTAAGGAGAAAAATTTTCTATGAATGAAATACTATGTTAATAATTACTATATTATTTTTATTTATTTATTTAAATTATTCAGTTATGTTTTTTTTGATTAATTGAAACATTAAGTAAATTTTAAATAATTATTTATTCATTTACTACTATAAACTTTATATTATTCTATCATTAATTAAAAAGTAATCATATAAATGTAAAATATATTTATTTATAAAAACAAATATAATTATTAATATATTAAAATATTTTTGAGAAATATTTATCTATTTTTGCATATTAAAATTAAGATTTATAAATATTTAAAAGTTAATATTGTTAACATTGATTTTAATAAAAATTTATATTGTGTAATTATATTTTTAACGATTTTTTAAAAATTATTATATCTAGAAAAATAAGTAAATATTTTTTAATGAATAATAGTTTCAAAATTAAATGCAATCAACAAATATTTGTCGAGTTGTGATCGCAAATAATTGACACACATTTAGATAAATCACATGTTATTGTTATTTGTTATAAACAGTGATGAATAAACTTAACTAAATTATATTAAATACTATAAAAATCTTAAACATCATATGAATTACATGACAATTACTTTTATATTACAACATTAATAATAATATTTAATATAAATTAAAGATCACAATCAATAAGTACATGAATTTGTAATATATATGACTAATTCCGTATAACTAATAATTTAATATAAAATTCATTATCAATTAACAATCAAAATGATTTGACTGTTTTTTTATAAAAAAATATTATTATTATTATTACAAGCCATTTGACTCATAATTCAATTCATACACCTGTATCTTATAAATTCATACATAATATAATTTATGTGTCTATTAAATACAGAATTATTGCAATATATAAAACAAATAATATACTATTTATAAAAAAAATAATAATTATATTTTATACATATGTATATACTGTAGAATATATGAAATGTAATTAATTTTTTAGTGTTTGACTAAAAAATATGTATTTTTAACCTGAAAATAGTGGTATGAATTTGATTAATCAAATAAATGTTTTCAATTAAATGTAAAAATTATATATTTATTACTTTATTAAACAGACAGTATTGTGAGATAAACATTTAGTTAGATATAAAATATTAAAAAGTTTGAAACTATAATATTTTCTTTATTTACTAATCATTTTAATTTTTGGAAATTTCGATAATTATTGTAATAAAAAACATTAATAATTTCAATTGATGAATCATTGTTTTACGTCTATATAAGCTAGGTTAATTATTATAAATATCATTGTAAAACATTAATATTTAAGTTAGTTTAACTTATTATATGTATTAAAGTATTGAAAAGTTTTTACAGAATATTTTCATTAAATATGAAGTTTTTAATTGCAATTTTGTTGTTTGGATTTTGGTATATATTTTTAATTATATATTATAGATACTATACAAATATAATTATTTTACTAAAATTATTAAAATTTATAACTTAATATTAATCTATCTAAAAAAATATTATGATATTTAATGTTTAGATAATAATGAGCAATAAAATTTACTATTAAATTATATAAAATAATAATTATTATTTTTAAAAATTATTATAGTATGACTGATGAGCTCAATACTGATATAAAGTGTAAATGCAATTTACGCCTGTTTTGGGGACATAGGTTAGAGACACTGACCCTAACCAATGGGTCGATCCCTTTCAGTGATAAATGCAATTCAAATGACTTTACTCTTTGCACGGATGCCTGCAATCAACAGGTCATACACTTTGTATTATAAATATATATTTAATATAAAAATATTTTTGAAAAAGTTATTTATATAAAAAAAAACTTTTTATATTTCTAAAATATAAATAGATATCAAACGAAACTAACAATTATGACTTGAATAAGCCAAAGGTCGGCGCCGACAACAGTGATGTTAGTTTAGGGCAACAGTTTTGTGATCATTTGAGAGGCGATATCAACAATCAACCCATTTATTTGTCGGTTACACTTAAATGTGATATTAAGCTGAATATTGTTGCCAATAACCAAACCATAGGCACATCAGTATCTGAGTCGTCGATCTCCCGATTTATGAACAGCGGCTTCAATCAGACACTTACTTGTATTGGCAAAAAGTTTACCGAACCTACCAGTGCTTAAAAAATTGTATATCAAAATGTTCAGTAAACAGTTAGGGGTCATATAATTTATTTACTATTTTCTTTTTTTTAAAGTTTCAAATGTTATTAATTATCTAAAATATTTGTGTTTATCATATGATTAAATAATAATTTGATTAATTTTCTATTTCTCAGAAATATTTATCTAAAAAATTAATAAATTGTCAATTAATTCAAAAACATATCCCAAAATTTAATAATATTAATAAACATATATATTGGTAGTCCAGACAACAACAAAATTTTCTTTACTGTAATAAATATATGACTATAACTTAAAAATAGTATTATGTTTTTGATTATTAAAATATAAAAATAAATATAAATCGTCTGAAATATTTCGGTACAACTAAACGTCTACTAAATAAACTAACTGTGCTTTCAAATAGTCTATGGGTGTATGATTGCAATGGCATATTTATGGCAAAATATAATGTGTATACAAAATATATACTGTAATATATAATCTATATTTAACTAAATTCAACTGAAATCTAATTATAACAGCGACACACCATCCATAACATAACAGTTTTTGAAACCATAACTTTTTATTTCTCTTAAATACCGGAGCTAATAATCATTGCATGATTTACTATACAAATGCTAATGTAGTTATTATGTTAAATAAAATACCAAAAAAAAWATCAAATCATAATTATAACTAAATCAATAAATATTTTATGACCAATGAATTAATCAAAAGCTATTAAATTATCAAAAAAAAAATCAAATTAAATAACATCTCATAACAAATATATTGCTTAAAATTAATTATTCAAAAAAATAATTCAAAATACAAAACGTTTTTTTAAAAATAAAAAATAACTATTTAATGATGAAAATTGTGATAATTTTTTTTCAATTGCCATTAAAATACTCCCAATTGCGGTCTTTAATTAAAAATAAAATTAATTTGCGACAAAAATATAAAAATAATGAATTGTGAGTTATTTATAAATAAAAATAGTCTTAATATAAAAATTACAATATATTTATAAATTAAATTTTTTGTTTCAATTTATGTCTAATGCAAAACAAAACCATTGAAAAATAAGGTAATCATTTGTTAATAAAACTGTACAATAAATATAATAATAATAATTAATTTTAAACTAATCATTATTATCATCATTTTGTTTACCGGTAAGTATAGATCCAATAATAATAATAATATAAAACAAAAAGATATTTATAATAATTAATTTAATTAATCAATAATATATTGTATAATAAAATGTAGTCAATTAATAATATTAATTAATAATTCTTTGAGGCATTCAATGCAAAAATTACAACAAAAAAAGACATGATTTTAATGTTTTGTTTGTTTGTTAGCAAAGAATTTGTTTGTAAGAAATTCATTGATTTGTTTTGTCTCATAAATATATAATAAAATAAACTAAAAAATAAAATAAGTTTTTTTCTCTTAATTTCAAAGGATATTTAAATATTCAAAAACAGAAAAATCACAGTCGAATCAAAAATTTATTTTATAATAATATATTTATATATAATTTTTTTCATGATTTAAATTATAATAAAATTTTCTTTTAGTAATAATTTAATAATAATTATTACTAAACATTAAAAAAAAGAGAGAAACTGTTTGTTTATCAATAAAATTGAATGAATAAACTTTTCTTCAATCTTCTTATTCTTATACACTTCTTCTGTCTGTCTCTCTCTTCACTACCATTTCTTCTATGACAACAATTATCTTCTCACTCCAGATATCAATCATTAACTTCATATGATGTGATCCATTCATACGATAGCACTGGTATGGTATGTGTGCGAGTGATGGTCTGGGGCATGAATTCTGTACAATTTGTGGCCCCAATTGCCATAATCATCATCAACATCAACATCACTGTATGGATCATTCACTTTTCGTTTACATGCAATTAATAATTTCAAATATATATCACTTTTTAAAAATTAATAATATTTGTATAATATATATATATATTAATTAGCAATTGAATCAATTAAATTCCTAACAAACTTATTATTTGCTTATTTAATTTTATCGATAATTTTCGCAATTATGCTCCAAATTATGTGATTTATTTGTTTTGTTGTAACAGTTTTTTTAATTATCTGTCAAAAAATCAATGAATGAATAGTTCAAATGAAATGATTTTTTCTTTGTTGTTAAACAAACATTTTGTGTTTTTTTGTTTTGAAGAAAAAAACAACAATTTATTTTGTCACAAAATTTTGATTCACACACACATATTTATATGTATATCTATGCCGCCAATTGAGTCATATTGTTATCAAACATAATTATCAAATGAAAATGTGTGATATAAATGGTGTCATATAATGTGTGTGAAAAAACTGTTTAAGATTTTTGATGTCTTTTTTTTAATCGTTGAATAATTTTTGAAAAAAATGTGTCCAAAAAATGAACATTTGATGAGTTGGTTGGTTTGTTTGGAGTGTTTGGAGGCACACCAGAGTTGTTGAAAAAGTAATGAATTTTAATGAATGATTAGTTTTTTTAATGCACGCAATCACTAGAGTTTTGTGAAAAGTTTGTTTGTTTGTTATTTTTTTTAAATAAAAAATGTATTCAATATTTCACAACAAAATAAATTAAATTAAATTAATTGTCATTAAAGACAACATAGAAGTCAACACAACTTAAGAGTTGGTATCTGAAGAATTCAATTCAGAAGAGTCAGTACTGTTTGATGACGATGTCGTCGTCGATGGCGTTGTTGTTGTCGTCGTCGTCGTTGTTACTGTTGTTGATTCAGTTGCTGCTTCTGTCACCGTATTATTGTTATCGATACCATCGACAGCAACATTATTGGTCACTTCTTCTGAGGACAATTTGTCATCAGAGGTGGTTGAGTTGTTTTCGTGTTGTTCTTCATTATTATTTACATCACTACTGTCGTGGCTATCATTGCTTTTAACACTATTGATCTTCTCTTCTACCGGTTCTTCTGTGTCATCATTGAAGATGAATTCATCGGACACTTTGGCCAATGAACACTCGTAAATAACATCGGCTATAATGCCGGCCACTCCTTGATCGAGGATTTGTGACATAACGAGAGCTAACAGTCTTTGCTGGAACTGTAAAAACAACTGGCGATTGTCGGGAACACGAGATAAACACCGGAGAGTAGAGGCCGACCGTCGCACCATATCGAGTGTAGTGCCCATGAGTTCGGGATTCTCTCGCAAAGCGTTAATACCCTGTGAATTGGCCACTTGTAGAGCCGATTGTTCGGCCTGTTCTACAAATGATATCAACAATGGAATGGCACAACCGGTCAGCGCTATCGCTCGGGCCGATGACGAGTCGGCCGACGACAAGTTAGACAATAAAACAACGGAAAACTCGCGAATGGTCTGATCTTCGTGTCGACTGAGACTTCGCGCAAGATTTTGATACAGTTTATCGATACGATTCCACGGAGGTGTGGCCAACATGAGGTCGACATTGGAGTCAAGAATCGACAGTTTGGACAGTGCTTCGAATGCTAACCTCTGCGGTGATAAATATTGGGTGGCGTTGGGCAGCGTGTCTTGAGCGTATGATGATGGACACACTGACCAATGGAGAAGACCGTCGAGCAAAGGCAAACTGATCTGTTCGGAATAGGGCGACAGATCCAACTGTCCACTCAAGTTGGCAATTGTGACCAAAGTGTTTTCCCGTACCGTATGTAACAGATCCCACCACCACTCCTTCTCAGCAATCTTTTCCGTCTTCTCTTTGTCGGTTTCGGTGGCAAACAGCTCTTCGTCAATGGATTTTTCGAAATGTCGTTTTTTGGTGATGTGTTGGTGATGTAAAAGTAATAATCGTGACAACACTAACAGTAATCCCGGATGTTTGGACATATGTTCATCGTTGCCCGGAACAAACGATAGATTACGTAACAATGTTGATAAACATAGACACCGACGGGTCAGTGAGTCCTGATAGTCATAGCCAAGTTGTACGGCCGGCTCATCCATGTCATAGGATTCTTCTTCAAACTCTTCAACAAGTTTTCGTTTGTTGAATCGTTCCAAATCTGAATCACGTATTCGTGGATATTGGCTGTCGTCTGACTGAAGACTGTCTTTATCGCAGTTATTGATTATTATATTATTTTCAACATTATTACTATTATTAGTATTATTATTGTCATCACTTTCTGTCAATTTATTATCAATTTTAATCTCAACACTATTGACATCGCATCGAGTTTTTGGCTCATTTGTGTTGACAATCAAACAATCCTCACTTTTCAGTGATGTTATCTTGTCTTCAGCAGCAAAGGTGTTGTTCTTATTCCAACTCATACTTGTATTTCGATTTCGCCGTCGATTTCGTTTCATAACTCTAACAAAACGACAATAGTTTTCGTCACTACCGAAATAAGTCTGTATGTGATCGGTGTTTTCACTGCCGCCTTGTGTCCAATGATCGACACCACCGGTAAATCCGACTTTCATTTGATCCCATTCCTTGTCTGGATCTTCAATATATAGTGACCTTCCGATCTTAAATTTCACACACTTTCCATTACGTGATTTATAAGTAAAGTTAGTAGTATTGAGAAGAACCAACTGTTCGTCCCGCGGAATGTCAATCTTCTTGGGAGTCGTACAGCGTTCGTCATCTTCTGTCGACAGTTTTTCCTCTTCGCTTTCACTTTCATTCAGATCATTGTTGATTTCGTACCACAGTTTAGTTCTTGTATTTTCTATTATACCATTTTTTGCTTCTTTGTGCGCCTGTTTGCTTTCGTAGCCGATTTCTGTGTCATCGAACAGGCCGTCAAAGATTTCACTTAAGTACCTCTTGTAATGTTCGAGTAAGATCTCCAACATTCCTGGCATATGCTGTAATCCGAAGTACACAACAGTAGAGTCGTCGTGTAATAGGACACTGAGTATATCAAGAGCCCACGTGCTCTCAGCCAACAAACCAGACTTTAGACACATAATGAGCCTCCAGGCCTCCACAGAGCTCAGGTCACGGGAACAAAGTCGCCGTCGTTTGGATAGAGTCGGTTGAGTGGCCTCTATCGAATCGGGTGGAAATATAATCTCTTTTTTTATTGGATGAAACATTTGATGATGTGTTGGTTGTGGCTGAGAGTATGGCATCGGTCCCATAGATGGATGAGGTGGTAACATATGTGGCGGCATTTTGTTAGGTGGAGTCGGCATAAACGGACGCGTTGGGTCAACACGTGGACCATAATTAGATAACTTTTGTACATGACTACCGCCAAAAGGAGTGGGTCCAGAGTATAGTTCGTGTGGCGTCGGAACTGGTTGTGGTGAACTAAAACGATTTTGGGGCCAATTGGAGGCGCCGTTATCCATGCGTGGAATGGATTCCCATTCTTCTCTGCTTTGATTTATGGGTGGACCAGAATATGGCGGACCAGATGCTGATTTGGGAGGCATGTGAGAACCAGTTGGGCCATAAGCTCGATATTGATTATCACGTGTCCACGGGGGCTGACTCGTGGGAGGATTTGGCGGCGTCTGTCGATTATTAGTCGATGGATACGATGGGTACGGACCGGTTGGTGGAATCGGCGGCTGTTGCGAGCCGAACGAGTTATTCACTGGTGAAAAGTCTTGTTTCATAAAATCTGGATGTCGTTTCTGAACAAATTGATTACCAGATGGTGCTGGAGGTGGCGGTGCACTTGGATGCCATGTCGTTCCTGTCTGTGTTTGAACGACTGGTGGCTGACTTTGATTGGTACCAGTGGTTGGAACAGACTTTTGTGACGACATAACGCCCATTGGCTGCGCTGACGAGGCGTTTGAATATAACGATTGAGAACCGGAATAATTCTGTCATTTGCGAAGAGATGGACAAAACAGATGGCAATTGTTAGTCAAGAGTTAATTAATTATTAATAGTTAAGTGAGTTATATATAATATTTAGTCAATAATATAAATTTTTAAAAAGCAAATACAGATTTAAATTATCATTAAAATTCATTTTAATAATATAGATAACGAAAGAAACGTGCGGTTTATTAGTAAATAAGCAAATAATCAATTTTTTATGTTAGGAGAAAAAATAATAATAAAAGTGTTAAAATAACAAACATATAATTATCTATAAATATATATATATAATGATTAAATCATATCAACAATTAATTTGGTTTTTATCATAACATACTTGATTTGATTGAGATATCTTTGCTGTGAGAAGTCTCTGAATGAGAGGACTTTGGTTTCTTAACATTGCGTTCTGGTATTGTGTCAGTGAGTGGTGTTTATTGGGTGCACACAGTTATCACAGGTTTTATACAATTTTTTTTTTGGTACAACAATTACCATTGCATTCACACAAACGAGATAATTGACATAAGCATTAAGGGATAAAAAATATATACAAATTATAAATAAATCAATTCAATAACAAACAAACAAAATATTAAGAATTTTTTTAAATATAAATATTTATATATAAAAAAAATCTTAAAATTCATGCATATATTATCAATGGATATGAAAGTGATAGATATTAGGATTGATTATCGATATTAAGGTATTAATTCCACTGTTTGACACATACATACACACACTCGTACTTAAATTTAATTGTGTAAACCAATTAACCGGCAATTGTTTATCAAACAAATACAATAAAAGTAATTTCTATACATTTATTTCATCAACTGATTCAATAATACTATATTAAAAACCAATTCAATTGTAGAGAAATAGTGCTCATAAAACATAATAATAATAATAGTGCAATTGAAATATTAGGTACAATCGTTATAATAATAATAATATAAATTGTATTTACAATATATAATTAAAACTTAATATTACTTTAATAATTTTTGATAAGTGTATTGAAACAATAAAACTATATTTATATAAAAATAAATAAATATTTTTAAGATTAATACACTTTTTATGATCTATTCGATACACTTGTAACCACACAAATATTAATATTCAAACTAATTAAACCTAAAAGATTTATAAAATTTATTCACTTAATGTATAAAAACTTATAATAAATTATTGAATTAAGTAACAGTAAAATAGAATATTATATTCAATTAATTAAATATTATTTAATAGAGCGCGTGCTTTACATATCACACAAATACAACACTTAAATAATAAAATATAAAAACATATGGTTTTTGAAAAAATATATTTTTTTCTAAATAAAACATCAATTATTAGAGCGAATAGCAGTTCCACTGGATATGTGTTTTCAGGCAATATATATATATATATATATATATAAATACAGTATTTTTCTAATAAAAAAGACTCAATTTTCAGGTTATTTTTATGAAAGTAATGATTAATTTTTATTAATAGATAACAGTGTATACATGCGATAACCTAAACGATATTACCTGACTTTTTCAATATCACACAACATATATACATAACATACATATAATTACTTAATTTCTCTAATGACTTATATATTCAACAAATGTTTACATTTTATAATAAACATTAAAATTCAGTCTCACATTTAACATMATTACTACTGTATATTACATTACAAGTAGTTTTTCACTTGAAAAAAGAAATGTATTCATTATTATCATATAATTAAATACAGTATATTTATATACATATAAACAAAACAAAAATTCAAATTCATTGATAAAAATTACTGATATTTTACGCAAACACACAATGTTTTCAATTSTATCATTAATTATGACAATAAAAATACTAACAAAAAAAGAAAACAAAACAAAAAACTATTATAAGTTAATGACTAAAAATATACAATTATTATTATCATTATTATTATATAACAAATTAATTAAACTTACAGACGCCAAATATTCTCTCATTTCGTAAACAAAAAAAATAAATTTACAATATTTTTGTCGCTAATCTTTAGGCTTTAGAGTAAATCACAAATTGATTGAACAATATTTTAACAAAAATACTAATAAAAATTAGACATTTTTCTCAACAAAAAAAATGATTAATTTATGTCTCGCAAAATCCTACTTTTAATTAATCAATTCTAAACAATATATATATATATATATATATTAACAACAAAAATTTTAATACATAAAACAAAATATATTGAAAAAAATTTATCTAATATAACAAACTAGCAAATTCACCATACAATAAAAACTAATAAATAATAGACTATATAATACCGTATATACCATGTATTCAATACAATGTAATTTATATAAACTTATCAGTGAGACAGATATAAAAGTTAATAATCATATATTTGAAAAAACTATGTTATACTGTATAGGCATTTAATGCTATATTATATACTTCACATGACTGTGTAGTGAAACCATGTAATTATCTAATATTTTTTGCAACTATTGATATATACATTTTAATGACACTTTTTCTCTAATAACTCTCTCTCTCTCTCTCTCTCTCCTTATCAATATTCATTTAATATAAATTACTTTTTTGTATGTCACCCTAGCTTATATAATAAAAAACTWAGTTATATAAAATATAATATAAATACAACTTTATATAATCTAAGTCAAAAAAATATATCTATTCATTGTTTTAAATAATAAATTTTATAAAATATAAATTAGACTATTAATTGAATTGCCGCCGAAATTAATTAAACAGTTCATTGATTTGTTATGCAAAAGAGTTGTTTGTTATGTATATGATATGTGTTTGATAAATGAGATAACTTTCTCAAAGAATTTTTAGGTTATAAATGTAATAAATTATATAACATTTTTTCCACAAAGTCATTCATTGGCAATGATATCTTAATTGAAAATGCATTTAATTTTTGTAATATAAATCAGTCTTTAGAGCAATAACAACACAAAAAACTCAAGAGTGCAATGGATTGCATTTAAGCAGGTGATGGATCAGCTAATGAAGGATGGATTCATGACTTTAGTTATGTGTCAGCAGTGGAATAAATATTTAATTTTAGACATACTTTGATCGCATATAAAAAGGGTGACAACAAACAAATAATAATACAATAGTAGTGACAAACCTGATCATAATTAGACTTATTATATTCTTGAGTTGAATTTGTGTAAGATATTTGTTGACCCATTGCTCCGTATTGTCCACTACCGACTGGCGATGAGCCGCCTCTCGTAAAGTTTGTCTGAGAAGATGGCGGAGTAGTTGCAGGATGTGGTGGTTGCGGCTGCTGACCACTAGAATGACCAATAGGGATTTGCCCTCTTGTCGGATGCTGAACAGCGCTCGCAGCAGACACTGGTGGTTGTGATGGTTGTTGTTGTTGTTGGCTATACATCGATTCTTGTGATGGCGGCCGTGGATGATGTGGATCGTAACGATTATCCGCACGATGGCTATCATATCCCTGTTGTTGACCGTAATATGGATGAGACATACGATTAGGTGGATAACCCTGTGATTGTGGTGGTGGAGCACCGTATGGATCAGTTTGGCCACTAGTTGTTTGACGATTGTATGGCTCATTAAAATCCTGGCCATAATGGTTTGGTATGGGATGATTGGTTTGTGATGTCGGAGCAGCAACTGAATTATAATATGAATTATGTGCTGACATATTTGAATATTTACTGTTAGTGTAATTACTATTAAATTCATTTGCTTGTGTGGTTTGCGGTTGTGAACCGGATTGCGATTGAAGGCCCGAACTTTGTGTTGGCAGCTGTTGTGAGTGAGAACGGGACGGATAGCCTCCTGACTGGTGTTGTTGTTGYTGCTGCTGYTGYTGYTGTTGTTGTTGTTGTTGTTGTTGTAAGTCGTCAGCAAACGGATCTTTTACACTTATACTCTCGTTATGATTGGTCAGCGATTGTATTGAAGACTGATTTTGACCGCTTATGTGAGGCGGAGGGGGTGGCCCTGAATGATGTGGAGGATATGATTGCTGATGTAAAGATTGCTGTTGTTGTTGCTGTGGAGACTGTTGAGTATGTTGTTGATGTGATTGCTGTTGTTGTTGCTGTGACGGTGGATACTCGGAATTAGGTATTGAATTTGGTGGCGGATAGGGTTGTTGTGGATAAGATTGCTGATGAGGCGGGTGTTGCTGGTGTGGAGGCAACTGCTGCTGGTGTTGCTGTTGCGCATGGATTGCCTGTTGATGCTGTGATGGCGGGTATTCCGAGTTAGGCATTCCGGCTCCGGCGGGCATTGAATTTGGCGGATATGGTTGCGGCTGTGGATAACCACTTTGCTGGTGTGACGGGTGTTGTTGTTGTGGTGGATATTTAGAGTTATTCATTGAATTTTGTGGTGGAAATGATTGCGGCGGATACGGCTGATGATGCTGAGGAGGAGGTGGTTGATGATGTGGTGGCGGCTGATGATGGGGTGGCGGTTGATGAGAAGGCGGAGGTTGATGAGATGGATAGTCAGAGTTTGACATTGAGTTCTGTTGTGGATAAGATTGTGACGGATAACCACTGCCAGGAGGACCGTAACCGTCCATATTTGGTGGGCCACCGGTGTGTGGAGGAAATGGTTGTTCTGGCGGTGGCGGCGGCACTGAATTCTTATTTTTCTTACGATTCGATCCGTCGAGCGAAGCAAGAATGGGCTGAGGGTCGACACCTCCCCTATCAATCTTACACTCGAAGGGAAATAAATGTTTAATATATTGTTTTCTAAGAGTATATGCAGCACTCGATGAGTTGGCTATATTGCAGATAATGGTGCACTCCTTCCAGAGTTTACCTCTGGTCACTTCAACAAAACCGCCCCTCTCTTTGACTGCCATATAGAGTCGGAAGAGATCGAGCGGTAGTTTACTAATTGTCGGACATTGAGATATAGGTGCTCCACGTTCTTCGTGAAACTGAATTAGTTTGTCGAGAAATACACGGCGTTCGGGTTCATCGGACAAGTCGTATAGCTTCATGAGTCCATCCGGACGCTGTATGTGTATACCAATGAAATAAAAAACAATATATCATTAATTATTAGATAGGATTTTACAAATAAAAAAACCAAATAACAATAATCTGCGTTAAAACAAACAAATAATTGTTATTAACCTTAACGTTATGCCCACTGTGAGAGTCATAGCCTTGACTGTTAACAACCTATTTTATGTAAATAACATAAGAAAAAATTTATAAAATTAAAAATTAATTTTTGTTGCCATTTATCTATCAATAGATAAGAATAGAGACTCACAGGACTAGCGGGAGTTCGGGGCCAACTGGGACTCGAAACCGATTCGAATTCATCGTGAAATGATGAGAGACTGGCGGCACCCGGAGATCCCAATGTGTTGGGCGTCGGAGGATGTGAAAGACCCGGCGGTTTAGAGTTGTGTTTTGGTGTCGGTATGTCTGAACTGTCCTCCGCTTGCGAAGATGTGGTCGACGCCTGACTCGCCTCATCTAAAATAGGCGGCGGCTGTGGACCGCCTCGCACTTCGGCGATACTGTTGGACAGCGATGGTGTGGCCGTCAGTGGACACGTTATGCTTTGTGTGACCGATGTGGAAATCTGTCCGTTGGCATCATTGATTACCGGCGCCATCGGCATATGCGACGGCATCATTGGATAGCCYGAGTTTGGCGGCATTTCACCACCGGGAGGCCCACGTGACTCATTTGGCGGCATGTGATGCATTGGCGGTGGAGGACCATGCATACCAGGTCCTGGRCCGTGCATCATTGGACCTCCCGGTCCCATTGGCGACATAGGTGGCCCCGGTGGACCGTGCGGTGAGTAGCCACTCGGTCCATACATGCGTTGCTGCAAATGTTGTCTCAAATACATTGACGTGTGCGGCGAAGACCTCATCGTATAGCTGGCCGACCGTTCAGCAGCCATGACGGCCGCTTGGGCTGCCACTTGAGCTGCTACTTGGGCGCCGTTGGGATTCGTTTGGGGCATACCTTTAGTCGGATAGCCGGTGGGCGGAGGCATCATATTGTGGTTCATTCCGCCGTACTGATTGCCGTAAGCGTACGCAGTGTTATTGTTTGTGGCCATTGTGTTGCCGTTACCATAACCGGGAGATATATGTGACGGGTAACTATTCATGCGTACCGACGGAGGCGGCCCTCCGCCCATCGGTGGTGGCGGTGGCCCGGGCGTCGTCGGCTTGCCTGGTGTGCTCCGTCCCGATGAATTTGATGAGTCGTCCAGATTAAAGCCCGGCCCGTGACGTACCGACTCCTAACACATTCAATACATATGTTAATGTTATTTGTTTATCAAATTAGACTATTAATTACATTGAATAACATTATGTATAATAATAACCACTACATTGCATACACAAACATAACACTCATTCACACATCAATTCAATATACAATAAAAACCATTTATTTATTATTATTATTATTTGTATGTATTGTTTATCTCTCTCTCTCTCTCTCTATAATAGAGTATATTCTGTCTCCTAATAAAAGTTATGTCATTGTAATGCATATTATGGTCTATAGATGTCTCTGTTATTGATAAACTCTATTCATATATCGAACGCTTATGTTTATAGTGTATGTGTTTGAGTGAGTAGTGGTTAGAGTTGTGCTGCTGTTGTGTATTCCAATTGATCAAAGCTTTATAGTATTGGCAAATGCATTGGCAATGCTATTATGGGGGCTTCGCATTGGAATTCACATCCAACTAAAACATTACACTACTCTCCATACAGGGTCTGATTCTAGGCGAACACACTGTCACTCATTGTCTAACTGCTAGTCTCTATGCAAGGTATCAAACAACTAGAGAAAAACTACTTATTCCATACATTATATCGCTTTATATATATATATATATATATATTTATGTATATATAGATATAGATATACAGTATATACTGTACACACTTTATATACAGTATTTATGCGTTTATATCGCTGTGTATATCGTCCCAAAAAAGTTGACTACATATAACATATACAGGGTTGCACAYTAATATCTAACCAAAAATATATATTAATAATACATTATTATAACAAAAACTATCCAATGATTCTTATGTTAGAATAAAATCTATTTTAAAAAATATTTTGATTAATAATTTACTATTTAATTATGATTACTTTAAATTGTTAAAATTTATAATAATAAAATTATTATCAAAATAAATATAGAAAAATCAAAAATTATAATTTAATATTTTAGTTAATAATTTATATAAAAATAATGCTATATTCTCATTGTTCCAATAGGTTGTTATTTTAAAATTAATTTTTAAAAATTTATTAGTAATAAAATTATTCAAGTTTTGCCAATGAATATTGATATGCTWGTGACTTTTAAAAAAATTTAGCAAGCTTATCTGTAAAWTATCATCCAAGTGATTATATTGAATAACTATTACAATTAGAATGTCATATTGGAACACAATATTAAGTCAAATGCTTTAATCATAGCCTCTTAAATAATAAATAGATTTTGATTCTAAATTAGTTTTGTCTTAAAAATAACTAAATAAAAATAATAAAACATTTATTTATGAGACAGACTTAGAACATCCCTGTAGTACACATACACATAGAGTACTACTATATATATAAATTTGTGTGAACCGGCTTCCAACTGAAAAACCCGTAATATAACTATAACTTTATATATGGATTTAAATTATTTGTTGTGCAGAGCAGTCATACATTTATATTATTTAAGCAAAAATAATAATATTGCCAACAATTTTTAGTTCAATACTAAACATTTCATATATACATCAATGCAATATATTATATACACAAATATATATATATATATACACTATACATATATATACATATAAATGTGGGCGCCACTTTCAAACACAAATACGATCAAATAAAAAATGATTATCAATACTACAAAAAAAATCTTATATATATTTGTTTGAAATAAAAATTTTTGTCATGTGTTTTGTCCTCACAAACAAAAACATTGAGATATATATAGAGAGAGAGAGAGACAAACGGATGGACAATAAAAAGTTATAATTATAATAAATAATTATTATTATTACCGAACCCTAGATAATAATTTCTAATAATTAATTGTCGGGCAATTGTCGGCCACACACTCATGAGATACCGATTAGTTAACAGTCAGTTAACAATGTCTTATAATCATATCATTTGTTAGTCCCGAGTGTTTGTGTGAATCGCAACTCACGAACCAAATCACTGGTCATACGGGAGGAGAGAGAGAGAGAGAGAAACTCATACTCATTGACAGTATTGATGACTAAAATTAAATGAAAACACATTTTACAATCAAAATACAAAATCATAATAAATGTCATTCACAACACTGACTGACCAAATAATATATTCACTAAATATGATATTGTTATCTAATTTTTCATTTATTTTTTAAAAAATAAAATAAATGCTAATAATATTAATAATACTACTATTTAGTATTTTATAGTACTTTAAATCTATTTTATGAATTAGTGATATTAATGATAGTATTATAATATTATAGTATATATATATTTTTTAATATTAAATATAAAATAATAATTTTTGTTAAGTATTGTCAGTCAGTGAAAGGGCTAATAGATTTTTGGTTAGTATAATATGTGTGTGAGTTTAGGTTAGGTTAGGTTAGGTCCTCGTGATTGACATTTAAAGTTAATTATATGATTGAAAGCACTAAATAATGATAAAATAAATCTTAGAAAAATTGAAACTAAAAATTCACACACAATGTAAAAACAAATAACAAAAAAACAAATGCATAATAACTTATAATATGTATTAAACATTAAATATATACCACAAACTGTTTGGTGTGTTGAGACAATTTGACAATTAATAACAATAATAACAACAATAATAACTATAACTATTTAATACCCGGTATTTATTCAAAATAGAAATAATAATATAATAATAATTATGACACTATGTGTGTATGTATTATATGATATACACTGTATATTACCCAATGAGATGACACTCATATACACACATACATACATACATAGATAGAAAACACACTATTATTTCAAACAAAACATAGATATATATATAAAACAATATATAAATTTACGAAATGGCCGTTTCGGCCGTCCATACAATGGCTGGATTGGCGTCGGATGTGCTGTTGTTGTTGTTGTTGGTGTGGATGAGATGGTTGTTGGTGTCTCTGGTCTTATATTTTATAGACATTCACTTTTCAAGACATACATTGAGTTTTTGGAGAAGACATTATTTTTATATATATTATATATATTTTTATATATATAGCACTCAAATACACTGAGTGTCTGGCGTTTAGAGCACTCATACATAGCATACACACACACACAGCACACACACCAATGCTATTGCACTCGTGAGCTGTTTTGCTGCTCAACACAACACATAGGCATACATTCAATGCACTCACTGCTAGTCATTTCAATTGACAAGAGAGAGAAAAATCCAACGAAAAATTGAATATACGATATAATAGAGAGCATAGCATACTATACATACATACATACATACTGTACATACAAACATGAAAAACCAGTATTACTAACACTAACATACATTACACAGCCTTATCGTATATATAATACACTAAAAGCCATTATATTGCAGTAAATATCACTGTTTTTTTGCCGACCAATACAGATGCCATCTCACAGCACAGATACCTATTAGTCGATCTAACTTTTTTTGTTTGAGTTAATATTTTATTTAGAAATGTACTAGCTTAAACTTTAACACTATTATTTAGTATATATTATAGGAATAATTTTAATTAAATTGTTAGTCAAAACAGTCCAATAAATACTTTAAACTATGATTTTTGTTAGTTTTTTTTGTTGCAAAATACTTTCTATAATAACAAAAAACAAAACAAAATTATTTACATTGAAAATCATATGCTATTTATGGTCAACAGTTTTTAATAATCTAATTAAAAAAATCAATCAATCGCTAAACGATAAAATTTATAATTTTTCTAAAAATTTGATTCAATTCAGTAATAATAATAAAAAAATTGTCCAGAATCAATTTCATTTGTATTTATGCATATTTACTAATATTAGTAATAATTTTTGTCATTAAATATTTTCATGATTACTAATACATACTAATAATATKCAACTACATGTACTGATACTTATTTATACATTATAATACAGTATATATGGTATATCAATATATTAAATAAACAAATTGTTTTTCAAAAACATTTTTATATAATCGATTTATTTATTTATTAAACAATTTATAAATAGATATAAATATATTCTTGATTAAAAATTAATTTAATGTAATTAATAATTAGCTAATTGAAAAAAATTAATATACTAATTAAAAAACATATCATTTAATAATAGTTTATAATTAAAATAATAATATACCGTTAGAACTGTATAATAACAKATACCGTAGAATACTTGGTTATTAAATAAATTAATATTTAAAAAAAACTAATTTATAAATTATGTCTAAATTTTAATAATAAAAAATTATCATTAAAAATTTTGGTTGTATAAAACTATAGAGTTTTTGACAATTAATTTATTAATCGGTTCACTGGCCCGACAGTCATCGGAGCAGACATTTGAAAGAAATTGTTTGTCGAGTCCGCAGTCTTTGAGATTTTCGATGGCAAACGCACGCGACGTCACGTTAGGCTCTTTGGACACCATTACCGAACTGAAAGCCTGTGTCGGCTCATATGTAGCAAACGATGCCTTAAATGAGTCGTGCGTTTCTTTCATTAAATTTATCAAACCGTTCATACAGTTTGGTAGTATAGGACCCGACACTTCCAGRCAGTTGTATGACTGATTGTCGCCAATTTCAGAGACCGTTTGCTTYACTTTTAACGATTGTAGAGTTGATCCGTGAAAAGCGGTCGGCGAAAGAAGTGTCGGCGGTATGCCTGATAGTGGGCCACTGTTGGCCACACAAATGCGGGCATTTAGTAAAAAATTCAGAAATAGCTGAGTGTTTGCCATTCCTTTGATTAAAACTAATGACTTGACTTTAGAAACAGCATTATCTGTACTTCTGGAGACAAATAAAAAAAAAGATTTTTAACAAAATAATTAAATGGTTTTTTTTAAAGTTTTTTACCGATTCTTTCGTTTAGATTGAAGTGAAGGAAAATCTTGTTGACTCAGTCCTAAACTTTCTAACCAAACGTGCGGCGACTCTTCATTATCATCGCCGACATCACAATTATCGGCTATGTTTTTCTGGTCATTTGATGACAAAATAGGTGGTATATTAATACTATGGTAACCTGAAGTAGTATTATCTTCAGAGTTTGTCGTATTTTTATTATCACAAAATGGCAACGAAAAGTTTATGCCTTCGTCGGTCAATAATTTCCTGAAGCCGGTACTCGTTGGCGTTACAAACACGTGAATGTCGTCCGAGTCGGCCACTCCGGACGCGCGAAACAGTATAGTAAATGTGTTGGCACAGACATAGAAATATGGACAGTGTTTGGCTTTTAACAATTGATATAATGATTTAAGACTTTTGCACCAATCTGTGTGCAGAGCGTCGGCAAGCGGTGTGTTCGGGATTATAGAAAATGTTGGCGCCTTTGATGATAAGGGAGCTCCTGGTTTCATATGACTCTCATTGCGAGGAAATAATGTAAGCCATGGAAGTGATGGATGAGACCAAATAAGACATTGTTTGTGCAATTGTGAAGCAAAACTAGTGTCCATWGAGTCTTGATTGGACTGATTGCTAAGAGAATCCGTATCAATGTTGGCTTTACTGGTCAAACATCGAACAAAACCGCTGATTCCGGCAGATTCTTCAGTAGCCCGAAAACTACCTCGAAATGCAAACGCTTTGTCCGACACAAAACGCAATCTTGTCTTAAGTGTCCAATCAATGAGATCCTGCTTTGAGTCACGATTTAGCGGAAAATTCGCCGAACAGTTGGCCGATTCTATGTTAGCATTTTCATCGAAATTCAATACATTTTTGTCGCTAATTGTCTGAAAGTTAAGTTTTCGTTTGCCTTTCGGCGGCGTCGACGACAACTTCTTGACGATTGGAAAAGAGTTTCTAATTTGATTTCGTTTCGGAGTCCGTTTCTGACGGAATGGTGAAAATGTCTTTTGCGGAGACACTATGTTTGAACAGTTGTCATAATTTTGTAAACATTTGAGCGGTGAATATAATGTCTTTGACGGCGATATCTTCGATGGCGAGACTTTAGACGTCTTTCGTTCCTTTCGTTTGCGAAACAGATCCGACGGTTTCATAAACTGTGGACTAATTGGTGATAACTTTCGTTTGGTCGGCGTATCCATCATTGACACGAAAATCTATCACTTTTTTTGTACTAACATACAGTTCATGAAGTCATTGATGCGATTATCACTTCCCAAAGTGATCTACAAATTCATTGACCCATTCATTGAGTGCAAACAAACCGCCATTTCTTGGCGCCAAACATTTGGACCAATAGGTGATAGTTTGGCAACATTTTTGAAAATATAAAATCTGTTAAATATTACAAATAACTCTTTGATTACTTAAAACATTATCTAACAGTTAATAACTGGTAATAATTGACAATTAATTGATCACTGAATTAGATCCCATAAATGTAAAACAATGGATAAAAATAAACAATTGTTTATAGACTCTAAACAATACATTATTTACTTTATTWATAACTTTTTTATAAAATTATTTATTTTATAAGTCATTCATAAATGATGTCAATATTACAGTAATAATAATATGAATAAAATAAATAATTTTATTAATCATTAATTATTATTAATTTWWAAAAAATACATGAAATATAAATACAAAATTTTTATAACTATTTTAAAAAAACTATAACTAAACTAAAAAATTTTAATTAATTAAAAAAACAAAAATAATTTGTTTCTCAATCATATAAATCATAATCGATGACAGGTCTTGTTTGATCACTACTATCCTCATCAATGGTTGGATTGTAATTAGTGGCAAATATTGACATCAGTTGACACTTAACTTGAGTGTCGATGTAAAGACCATTTGTGTCCAAATGATGGRTAAATCTTCGCGACCGTCGCGAGTGATTTGATGTCAACGATTGACGCAACGATTCCAACGTACAGATGAATGATATGTATGGACAGTAATCCAAGAGAAGAGTTTGTTTGGTGACATTTAGTGGCAAATACTGTAAAACACTTTCAATGCACTCATTATTAACTATTTCTTCTTCGTTGTGAATATTATTGAACTCAAAACAAAATTTATTTAAATTATTATTATTATTAACATTATTATTCAACTCTTTAACTGATTCAACAATATCTTGAGCTATACTATTGTAATGATCATCAATGTTGGGTGCCATACATTGATGCCATCGATGTCTACTCTCCGGTTGACTTAAGATTTTAAATTTATTTTCAAATATATTTGAAAATAACAATGAATTATAATATACGGTAAAGTTTGCAGTAATTTCACTCTCAACTTCTTGAGAATCACTTTCACTGTTATTGCAAACACAACAATCATCACAACTACTATGTGATCCAAATTGTAATTCATTCAAACATCTTCTGATATCATTGTCGTATTGTTTGCACAAACATTTGAATACATTATCAGTTAATTGGTGTCCATTTTCAACAATACGGCTATCTTTATGATAAATACTTATCAATGAGTCAATAGTCTGTGCACTGTCTGGTCGATGAAGTTTCAAGACTTGCAAACGATTGACACACTCTTTGATGTAAGGAATATATTGAGTGGCAGTCAAAATGATAGGCTTTTTGGTGATGGCATTGATCTTATTAAAGGCATTCCAGAAGCCATTCATGTCGTCGTCGATCATGATGTCGATGTCATCAAATAGTATGAGTGAATTGGCGGCAATCGACAATTTTTTCTTCATTTCAGTCGATGTCTTAATGACAGAATCGTGTTTGTCTTGCGATTCTTGAGAATGGCTTACGATGTCCACAATTTCAATGTCTTTATCATTTGATGACTTACTATTGTTTGTCACTTTCTGAAAATAACTCAAAATGCCTTTAGGTTTTGGTTTCTTTTTCATCGGTTTGTCCAATGGTTCAAACATATGATTGTTGACCACCGATGAAAAATAAGAGTGAATCGTATTCTGTGAGCCCTGTGATGACAACTCGTTATTCCTCTGCATGTGATGCGATTGTGTCGCTTCCGTCAAAATCTTGGATATGAAGCGACCGTTTCGTTTGGCCGATGCGTTCAATTCAAGCACTTCATACTTGAGTTCATCGGCCACCGCATAGATCATCGATGTCTTTCCTGAACCGGTCGGTCCACAGATTAGCAGACAAGCATTAGATTCATCCAAAGCATTACTGGAATCGCTGTATTCACTACTCGCCCGATCGGTATTCTTCAGACTCCAGTCTTCGAGCCACGACTTTAACCGATTGACGGCAACGGTCTGACCAATCACTTCACAGCTGTTCATTGGTTTGTACTTTTCAGTCCATAAATAAAATTCACGCAACTCTTCGATAGACACAATCAGTGGTTTTTTTTGTTGTTCAGTAGGTTCTTCAGAGACCTCTTTTATTAAACATTTTTTCAATAACGATGTCTTTGACGACGACTTTATTGATGGTAACTCTTTGGATGTTTTTCGTTGTTTTCGWTTTCGCTTAACTGATCCGTTTGTTTGATWWTTTGTGGACTAATAGACGATAACTTTCGTTTRGATCKGGTCTCCATCGTTGACATCAATTAATAGTTTATAAATTGATAAGACTTTTGTGATACAAACAAATAGTTAATAATAACAACAATAATAATCAATTGATTGATTGATTGAAACTATTATATGATTACAATCTCATAAGTCATTCACTAATTGTTTGTTTCATTCATTGAATGTGGATTTTAGCGCCATTTGAGTCAATAGTATAGTATATGCCATAAGTTTGAGTGAAGACTGACGTCACATACTAGTACTCATACAGTACTACACAATAATAATAATAATAATAACTAGATTGTCCCGCGCAACATGTATAGACGTGCAATTCTTTTACTAAATTTAAAATATTCATCATAAGTAATTTGAATGACTGCCTAATTTGTTTTATACACCAAACTACTTAAACTAATGTAATAAAACTACAGAACCAATACACATTATTTCGTCTAAACTCTTAAGAAATTTTAGACATATATAATATTTAAATAATCTTAAAAAAAATTAAAGTTTAATCATTTTTGTGAAAAAAAATTACAAAATTTTTCACTTTTAACAAACATCCCGGTGCCCTGTGATTCATAGAATATAGCAAAATGTAATAACACAGCACCTGCCTACCTGTCCATAAAACCTACCTGAGCTCAATAATCATTTAAAATTTTCCATAGAAATAGCATTGCTTTAAATAAAAATAGAAAATTTTAACACAAATTGGAAATTTTACAAAGATTTAGCACTAGTATCTAACCTACCGGTCCCTATGACGAATACCAAATAGCATAATGAACTTACACAACACCTGACTACCTGTCCCTAAAACCTATCTGAGCTTTATAAACATTTAAAATATCCCATAGAAATAACATTACTTTCAATAAAAATTTAAAATTTTAATACAAATTGACAATTTTTGCATTTGAGAAAATTTTATAAAAATTTAGCGCAGGTAGTTAACCTACCGGTGCCTTGTGACTCATACAATATAGCAAAATGTTATTACACAGTATTTTTTAATCAAAAGTATTCTATACAAATATATAGATCAAACAATGTTTTATAAATAAATAAATAATATTAAATCATAGTAATAGGTGTCACCACCTAAAAATAGATGCCCAGGGTATGGCAGAGACAGGGGAGGCAATTGGCAAAATTGGCATCTATTGTTTATTCCTGCCACATTTAAAACCCTGGTAACTACTGACGTCACATACTAGTACACAGCATAGTATGTATGGAGGTGAGGACCATATGATAGCTAAAGCTAAGCATAAAAATATTTTTGCTATATAGCAAACAGTGCTTTAGCTATCATATGGTCCTCACCTCCATACATACTATGCTGTGTACTAGTATGTGACGTCAGTAGTTACCAGGGTTTTAAATGTGGCAGGAATAAACAATAGATGCCAATTGGCTTGCCTGTCTCTGCCATACACTTTAAGATAGTAGTCTCTATTTGTTTGTATGACACCTTTCCTCAACAACCATATTTTAATTCAAATCTAACCAGTTGAGAATGCTAGAAAGCATTTCCATACGAAATTCTAAATCCTAATTAAAAATTAAATTCAGTATGACAAAATAAAACCAAGTATAGTAATGTGAAAAATAAATAGTTCAGAATACCAAAATAACTATTGTCATACAATGTATCAAATATTTCAGTGTTACAAAATAAACAACTATAGACATATTGGATAACAAATGCTTCAGAATAAAAAAAAATTATCTCAACTATAATCATGTGGGTATTAAATGTTACAGTGACAAAATTAAAAATTTAGCTGTCATTTTCTTGTAGTTCTTGAAGAGATAAAAATTTAAATGCAGATTTCTTATACTTCATTTTTGATGCTTTATACAAATCTAAATTTAAAATTGAAAAAAATAGACAGACAGACTTTTAGAATGCATATACGGACTTCTTTCAGTTGTTCGTGAAAATGTATTGTTATATTTTCTATTTTTATTGAAAGTAATGTTATATCTATAGGAAACTTTGAATGTTTATTTAGCTCATGTAGGTTTTAGGAACAGGTAGACTGGTGTAACATTTTGATATTTTCTATGACTTACAAGAGCACCGGGAGGTTAACTACTTGTGCTAATTTTTTTCGGAATAATAATTAAATAATTTAAATATATATATATATATATATATATATATTTTCTTAAGAGTTTAGACAAAATTATTGTATTGGTTCTATATTTTTGTTACATTATGCTAAGTAGTTTGTTGTATAAAATAAATTAGACAGTCATTTAAATTACTTATAATGAATTTGTTTTATTTATTAATTTTTAAAAATTACACTGCGTAATTTTGACAATTTTCAATGAAATTTATAAATTTATTGCACCCTTAAAATTAATATAATATTAAATAATGTCATACTAAACAACAATAAAATTATCTAAAAATTTTTATTAATTTTCAAAATACACATATTGGAAAAAGGCGTAATTTTGACAATTTTCAATGAAATTTATAAATTTATTGCACCCTTAAAATCAATATAATATTAAATAATGTCATACTAAACAACAATAAAATTATCTAAAAATTTTTATTAATTTTCAAAATACACATATTTGAAAAAGGCGTATTTTGACAATTTTCAATGAAATTTATAAATTTATTGCACCCTTAAAATCAATATAATATTAAATAATGTCATACTAAACAACAATAAAATTATCTAAAAATTTTTATTAATTTTCAAAATACACATATTGGAAAAAGGCGTAATTTTGACAATTTTCAATGAAATTTATAAATTTATTGCACCCTTAAAATCAATATAATATTAAATAATGTCATACTAAACAACAATAAAATTATCTAATAATTTTTATTAATTTTCAAAATACACATATTGGAAAAAGGCGTAATTTTGACAATTTTAAATGAAATTTATAAATTTATTGCACCCTTAAAATTAATATAATATTAAATAATGTCATACTAAACAACAATAAAATTATCTAAAAATTTTTATTAATTTTCAAAATACACATATTGGAAAAAGGCGTAATTTTGACAATTTTCAATGAAATTTATAAATTTATTGCACCCTTAAAATCAATATAATATTAAATAATGTCATACTAAACAACAATAAAATTATCTAAAAATTTTTATTAATTTTCAAAATACACATATTTGAAAAAGGCGTATTTTGACAATTTTCAATGAAATTTATAAATTTATTGCACCCTTAAAATCAATATAATATTAAATAATGTCATACTAAACAACAATAAAATTATCTAAAAATTTTTATTAATTTTCAAAATACACATATTGGAAAAAGGCGTAATTTTGACAATTTTCAATGAAATTTATAAATTTATTGCACCCTTAAAATCAATATAATATTAAATAATGTCATACTAAACAACAATAAAATTATCTAATAATTTTTATTAATTTTCAAAATACACATATTGGAAAAAGGCGTAATTTTGACAATTTTCAATGAAATTTATAAATTTATTGCACCCTTAAAATCAATATAATATTAAATAATGTCATACTAAACAACAATAAAATTATCTAATAATTTTTATTAATTTTCAAAATACACATTTGAAAAAGGCGTAATTTTGACAATTTTCAATGAAATTTATAAATTTATTGCACCCTTAAAATTAATATAATATTAAATAATGTCATACTAAACAACAATAAAATTATCTAAAAATTTTTATTAATTTTCAAAATACACATATTGGAAAAAGGCGTAATTTTGACAATTTTCAATGAAATTTATAAATTTATTGCACCCTTAAAATCAATATAATATTAAATAATGTCATACTAAACAACAATAAAATTATCTAATAATTTTTATTAATTTTCAAAATACACATTTGAAAAAGGCGTAATTTTGACAATTTTCAATGAAATTTATAAATTTATTGCACCCTTAAAATTAATATAATATTAAATAATGTCATACTAAACAACAATAAAATTATCTAAAAATTTTTATTAATTTTCAAAATACACATATTGGAAAAAGGCGTAATTTTGACAATTTTCAATGAAATTTATAAATTTATTGCACCCTTAAAATCAATATAATATTAAATAATGTCATACTAAACAACAATAAAATTATCTAAAAATTTTTATTAATTTTCAAAATACACATATTTGAAAAAGGCGTAATTTTGACAATTTTCAATGAAATTTATAAATTTATTGCACCCTTAAAATTAATATAATATTAAATAATGTCATACTAAACAACAATAAAATTATCTAAAAATTTTTATTAATTTTCAAAATACACATATTGTAAAAAGGCGTAATTTTGACAATTTTCAATGAAATTTATAAATTTATTGCACCCTTAAAATCAATATAATATTAAATAATGTCATACTAAACAACAATAAAATTATCTAAAAATTTTTATTAATTTTCAAAATACACATATTGGAAAAAGGCGTAATTTTGACAATTTTCAATGAAATTTATAAATTTATTGCACCCTTAAAATCAATATAATATTAAATAATGTCATACTAAACAACAATAAAATTATCTAAAATTTTTATTAATTTTCAAAATACACATATTGGAAAAAGGCGTAATTTTGACAATTTTCAATGAAATTTATAAATTTATTGCACCCTTAAAATCAATATAATATTAAAAATGTCATACTAAACAACAATAAAATTATCTAATAATTTTTATTAATTTTCAAAATACACATATTGGAAAAAGGCGTAATTTTGACAATTTTCAATGAAATTTATAAATTTATTACACCCTTAAAATCAATATAATATTAAATAATGTCATACTAAACAACAATAAAATTATCTAAAAATTTTTATTAATTTTCAAAATACACATATTGGAAAAAGGCGTAATTTTGACAATTTTCAATGAAATTTATAAATTTATTGCACCCTTAAAATCAATATAATATTAAATAATGTCATACTAAACAACAATAAAATTATCTAAAAATTTTTATTAATTTTCAAAATACACATTTGAAAAAGGCGTAATTTTGACAATTTTCAATGAAATTTATAAATTTATTGCACCCTTAAAATCAATATAATATTAAATAATGTCATACTAAACAACAATAAAATTATCTAAAAATTTTTATTAATTTTCAAAATACACATATTGAAAAAGGCGTAATTTGACAATTTTCAATGAAATTTATAAATTTATTGCACCCTTAAAATCAATATAATATTAAATAATGTCATACTAAACAACAATAAAATTATCTAAAAATTTTTATTAATTTTCAAAATACACATATTTGAAAAAGGCGTAATATTGACAATTTTCAATGAAATTTATAAATTTATTGCACCCTTAAAATCAATATAATATTAAATAATGTCATACTAAACAACAATAAAATTATCTAAAAATTTTTATTAATTTTCAAAATACACATATTGGAAAAAGGCGTAATTTTGACAATTTTCAATGAAATTTATAAATTTATTGCACCCTTAAAATCAATATAATATTAAATAATGTCATACTAAACAACAATAAAATTATCTAAAAATTTTTATTAATTTTCAAAATACACATATTGGAAAAAGGCGTAATTTGACAATTTTCAATGAAATTTATAAATTTATTGCACCCTTAAAATTAATATAATATTAAATAATGTCATACTAAACAACAATAAAATTATCTAAAAATTTTTATTAATTTTCAAAATACACATATTGGAAAAAGGCGTAATTTTGACAATTTTCAATGAAATTTATAAATTTATTGCACCCTTAAAATCAATATAATATTAAATAATGTCATACTAAACAACAATAAAATTATCTAAAATTTTTATTAATTTTCAAAATACACATATTGGCAAAAGGCGTAATTTTGACAATTTTCAATGAAATTTATAAATTTATTGCACCCTTAAAATTAATATAATATTAAATAATGTCATACTAAACAACAATAAAATTATCTAAAAATTTTTATTAATTTTCAAAATACACATATTGGAAAAAGGCGTAATTTTGACAATTTTCAATGAAATTTATAAATTTATTGCACCCTTAAAATCAATATAATATTAAATAATGTCATACTAAACAACAATAAAATTATCTAAAAATTTTTATTAATTTTCAAAATACACATATTGAAAAAGGCGTAATTTTGACAATTTTCAATGAAATTTATAAATTTATTGCACCCTTAAAATTAATATAATATTAAATAATGTCATACTAAACAACAATAAAATTATCTAAAAATTTTTATTAATTTTCAAAATACACATATTGGCAAAAGGCGTAATTTTGACAATTTTCAATGAAATTTATAAATTTATTGCACCCTTAAAATACAATATAATATTAAATAATGTCATACTAAACAACAATAAAATTATCTAAAAATTTTTATTAATTTTCAAAATACACATATTGGAAAAAGGCGTAATTTTGACAATTTTCAATGAAATTTATAAATTTATTGCACCCTTAAAATCAATATAATATTAAATAATGTCATACTAAACAACAATAAAATTATCTAAAAATTTTTATTAATTTTCAAAATACACATATTGGCAAAAGGCGTAATTTTGACAATTTTCAATTAAATTTATAAATTTATTGTACACCTTAAAATTAATATAATATTAAATAATTTTATAGTAAACAACAATTTAAATTATCTAAAAATTTTTATTAATTTTCAAAATACACATATTGGCAAAAAGGCGAATTTTGACAATTTTCATTTAAATTTATAAATTTATTGTACACCTTAAATACAATATAATATTAAATAATTTCATACTAAACAACAATTTAAATTATCTAAAAATTTTTATTAATTTTCAAAATACACATATTGGCAAAAGGTGGAATTTTGACAATTTTCATTTAAAATTAAAAATTTATTGTACACCTTAAAATACAATATAATATTAAATAATTTTATAGTAACCAACAATTTAATTATCTAAAAATTTTTATTAAATTTCAAAATACATATATTGGCAAAAGGTGGAATTTGACAAATTTTCATTTAAAATTAAAAAATTATTGTACACCTAAATACAATATTATATTAAATAATTTTATAGTAACCAACAATTTAATTATCTAAAAATTTTTATTAACTTTCAAAATACAWATATTGGCAAAAGGTGGAATTTGACAAATTTTCATTTAAAATTAAAAAATTATTGTACACTTAAATACAATATAATATTAAATAATTTTATAGTAACCAACTATTTAAATATCTAAAAATTTTTATTAACTTTCAAAATACACATATTGGCAAAAGGTGGAATTTGACACATTTTCATTTAAAATTAAAAAATTATTGTACACCTAAATACAATATAATATTAAATAATTTTATAGTAACCAACTATTTAAATATCTAAAAATTTTTATTAACTTTCAAAATACACATATTGGCAAAAGGTGGAATTTGACACATTTTCATTTAAATTTAAAAATTTATTGTACACCTAAATACAATATAATATTAAATAATTTTATAGAAATAAACTATTTAAATATCTAAAAATTTTTATTAACTCAAAATACACATATTGGCAAAAGGTGGAATTTGACAAATTTTCATTTAAAATTAAAAATTTGTTGTACACTTAAAAACAATAATATTAAATAATTTTATAGTAACCAACTATTTAAATATCTAAAAATTTTTATTAACTTTCAAAATACACATATTGGCAAAAGGTGGAATTTGACACATTTTCATTTAAATTTAAAAATTTATTGTACACCTAAATACAATATAATATTAAATAATTTTATAGTAACCAACAATTTAATTATCTAAAAATTTTTATTAACTTTCAAAATACAMATATTGGCAAAAGGTGGAATTTGAAACATTTTCATTTAAAATTAAAAATTTGTTGTACACTTAAAAACACAATAATATTAAATAATTTTATAGTAACCAACTATTTAAATATCTAAAAATTTTTATTAACTTTCAAAATACACATATTGGCAAAAGGTGGAATTTGACAATTTTCATTTAAAATTAAAAAATTATTGTACACCTAAATACAATATTATATTAAATAATTTTATAGTAACCAACAATTTAATTATCTAAAAATTTTTATTAACTTTCAAAAWACAMATATTGGCAAAAGGTGGAATTTGACAAATTTTTATTTAAATTTAAAAATTTATTGTACACCTAAATACAATATAAYATTAAATAATTTTATAAACAACTATTTAAATATAAAAATTTTTATTAACACAAAATACACATATTGGCAAAAGGTGGAATTTGACAATTTTCATAATTATATAAATAAATATAATTAAATAATTTCATACTAAACAACAATAAAATTATCTAAAAATTTTTATTAATTTTCAAAATACACATATTTGAAAAAGGCGTAATATTGACAATTTTCAATGAAATTTATAAATTTATTGCACCCTAACCTTAAAATATATATAATATTAAATAATGTCAACTAAACAACAATAAAATTATCTAAAAATTTTTATTAATTTTCAAAATACACATATTGGAAAAAGGCGTAATTTTGACAATTTTCAATGAAATTTATAAATTTATTGCACCCTTAAAATCAATATAGTATTAAATAATGTCATACTAAACAACAATAAAATTATCTAAAAATTTTTATTAATTTTCAAAATACACATATTTGAAAAAGGCGTATTTTGACAATTTTCAATAAAATTTATAAATTTATTGCACACTTAAAATTAATATAATATTAAATAATGTCATACTAAACAACAATAAAATTATCTAATAATTTTTATTAATTTTCAAAATACACATATTGGAAAAAGGCGTAATTTTGACAATTTTCAATGAAATTTATAAAATTTATTGCACCCTTAAAATCAATATAATATTAAATAATGTCATACTAAACAACAATAAAATTATCTAAAAATTTTTATTAATTTTCAAAATACACATATTGGAAAAAGGCGTAATTTTAGTTAGCTTTCTTGTCTGAATTTAAAAATTATACTAAAATAATATTTAAATTTTCTATTCAATTATATAATTTATTTTTTGTTTTATACTTGTAATAATAAATAAAATTAAAAAATCACTTTTTAATCTGATACATTTTATTTTAAGTTAATTTTTAAATTTTAATCGTAACGCGCAAAAAGTGTGACAAATAAAGATAATAGTTTTACTGTCTGCCTGTATGAAACCTTTATCCAACAACCATATTTTTATTCAAAGCAATGTTATTTCTATGACAAATTTTAAATGTTTAATAAGTTCAGGTAGGTTTTGGGGACAGTTAGGCACTTGATATGTAAAACATTATGCTAATATTATGATCTTAGGCCACCTGGAGGTTAGCTACCTGTGCTAAATTTTTGTAAAATTTTTTCAAATGCAAAAAATTTTTCAACAATAATAAAATTTTTAATTTTTATTGAATGCAATGTTATTTCTATGGGAAATTTTTAATGTTTATTGAGCTCAGGTACGTTTTATAGATAGCTAAGCAGGTGTTGTGTAATTACATTTTGCTATATTCTAAAGTGTGACCAAGATATAAATAAACAAACAATTCCAAATTATTAATTGTATAGATTTATTATACTGTAATACTATTAAATTTACATTACTTGGCGACCTCTGTTAACAACAAAAATATTAAATTTAATAATAAAATAAATTATAAATAAATATATGATATAATAACTTATGTTTAAAAGTATTGCAATCACTGTAATCACAAAACTCATGTATATCGCACTAATTCGCTATATTATCGGTGCTTACATTCCGTCACTATTTTTGACAACCGATGAATATTCACTGATGTATCCGTTTTGGGAGAAATTTACGTTTTTGTTACGTGAATCGGGATATATGCACATCCAGTCTACAAAACCCGATTCAGTTGGTACAGCACTAACAGACAGTCCAGTAGGTCTATGCGCTTATATATTGGAAAAGTTTTCCACGTGGACTAATCCAGACAATACTACCAAACAAAACGGTGGTCTCGAAGAAAAATTTAAATTAGACGACTTGTTGACTAATATTAGCGTCTATTGGTTGACAGGAAATATAACCTCATCCCTGCGTTACTATAAGGAATCGTTCGGCAATACACCCAGGTAGGTTTCTATAATATATATATACAGTATATATATATATAATTTTCAAATTAATCAATTATCTATCAATTGTTTGTTTGAAATCAGCGGTAAAATTTTGGTGCCGACAGCTGTGGCCGATTTTCCACACGAATTGGCCCGAATGCCCGAAAAATGGTTGCGCGAAACAATGTTACCACAATTGACTCAATACACCCGAATGCCGAGTGGCGGACATTTCGGTGCATTTGAATTACCAAAACAGTTGTCGGATGACATAAAAAGTTTTGTCCGTTTGATTATCAATAGAGAATAAACAACAAATAGATATAATGTTATTATTAATAATTCATATAAACATTTTAAGTTAATAAAAAATTTATTAAAATATAGAAATATTATTAATTAATTTTGTTATTTTGTTATTAATTATTAATATTAATTATTTTATAAAAAAAATTATTCWAATATATACCGGTATATATATTCTACATTTTCTATATAGATATAAAAACAAATATATAGCAAAAAGACGTAATTTGACATATTTTTTATTAAAAATTATAAATTTATTGTACACATAAAAAAATATTATACTAAATAATGTCATACTAACCAAAATGTAATTACACAGCACCTACCTAYCTATACTTAAAACCTACCTGAGCTCAATAATCATTTAAAATTTCAGATAATTTAAAATTCCTTTGAATAAAAATTGAAAGTTTTATTATTGTGAATACATACAAAACTATTATATTAAAGTTATATATGATTACAATTTACATTATTTGGTGACATCTAACAACAAAATCAGTAAATATAATAATAAAATAAATTATAAATAAGTATCACATATGATATAATAATATATTTTTAAAAGTATTGTAATCACTGTAATCACAAACCTGATGTTTACCGCACCGATCGTCGACCACTAATGAAACCGACAATCGGCTACTGTTTAGTCAAACTTCACGACAATCCCGAACTAATTGATGGCTGCGCTCTACTACTTAACAAACAATGGCAGCGGAGGTCAGTATACGATAGCAATGCCAAACCAAATGTCTTTATCTAATAATTTTTTGCGGAAATAACTTTATGTCTATAGTTTGACATCTCGTTTGCATTCATTGAACAAATCGTGCGATGATTTTCCACTTTCGTTGGTTTTAATCAACAATAATAAAACCGATTATCAAATCTTAGGACACATTCGCGTCAAACGAGAACCACTGGTCAACAATCGACACACGGTTTTCATTGAGTCGCTAATTGTTGACGAATGTGTTAGAGGACAGGGATTTGGCAAATATATAATGTTGGAAACGGAACGGTTGGTCAAACAGATGGGATTCTTGACAATCACGTTAACCACAACTGATAAACAAGAATTTTACAGACATCTCGGCTATCGTGAAGTAAACTTATCGGTTGATTGCAACCAAATGAGTTGTCGCCCAATGTCTTCCATATTATCAGCAGAGTCACCACAAATGCCAACTCCACCCCCACCTCCAGTGCCACCACCGATGCCATCGATAAATAAATCAAATAATTTAGTCAAAGTCTTAATGTTAAAGAATATTTAATTGAAAATCTATTTAAACAAATCAAAGAATAATTAGTTAATTATTTTAAATTAATTGTTAAGTTTTATTTGTACGCAACGTATACTGCTTTGACAATCAATGACTCTCAAGACATTGTAAGTCCTGGTATTGCGTGTGTCTATGATTTTGCACTCAAATAAAAGTTGATAACAATTCAATCAAAAACAAATGATTTCATTGACTGAAATGAATCACTGAGTGCTACCATTGATAACAAATAAAGATATTTAATAAAGAAATTATTACCTAAAATAACAGAAAGACATCCATCAAAACAAACACACTTAAGATTTCAAGAGTCGATCACTTTCTCCATCTGATACGTGGCGTCTCTTTCATCTTCTTTGCCTCAGATGTTGATTGATGTGCAGTAGTATTGGTTTGTTTCAAATCCGCCACAAATTTATCTCTAATTACATCAAACTTTCGCTTCAAATTCTGTCTATTCTTAGCAATCATGTCTTCATTTGATTGTTTGACACTTTCATTAATATTATCGTCAGTCGTATCCATATCTTCTGTTACTATTGATTGGCCGGTCGTTTGTTTCTTAGATCTTATATAAAAAGAAAATAAATAATAATTAAATTGAAAATAAATTTTGTAATTAAAGTCAAATATTATACTTCTTGGATGACATACGAGACACGTAAGTCAATCTCTGATGCAATTTATCTCTGGTTTCATCCAATGTTTCTAACTCTGGTGCGTAACACACGTGCAAAACAGATCCCAAAAAGTTTCGGTCGTCCAGTGATTTCTTGGCCCTCACGGCGTCCACAAACCGACGATATTTAATGAGATAGACTTTTGTAAACTCTTCACACTTCGGGTAATCCGTAAGATTTAGGCTATCAATTGGTCCGTAACGGTGACACAGACGGCGTAACTCTTGTTTGACATCACCCTTAATATCGGGCACCCGATGTATCAGCAAATATCGGGACTCATCGCTGATTGTCATCACTTTGACGGCCGTTTCGCGCCGACCCGACCGGTATCGGCTGCGTGTCATACAAACCGATTGGCGAATGTGATGGTCATAGGCTTCGACTTTAATCACTCGGTCATCACTATTGCTGGTGTGACCGTCGGTGTCCATTAATGGACCAAATGTGACAAAAAAGACCGATTCAAATGTCCGCACACTTTGCTATCAATGTTTATGTTGAGTCACGTGATTGATGTTATTATACAGTATTAATATATCGTTACTATTGAAAGCATTAATAAAAACTTTTAAAAATATATAAATTTAAAAGTTATTAATAAAAAATACTTTTAATATTAATATTCATAATTTAATTAAATTACTTTTATTATTTAAAAAATCAATAAATAATGTAAATGCAGTAAAAACTTGTATATATATATATCATTTAAGAGAATAGTATTCATTGAATACATTCAACAAAAGTTTTATAAATATATAAAACTAAAGATAATAATTTTAAAAAATTATTTATATATTCATTTACTTTATAGTTTAATACAATTTATCACTTATGTAACAAACTAATACTTTAAAGATTAAAATTACAGTACAGTATATCAAAATATAATGTCATGTTATAAAGTATTGATAAAAATGTCACAAAAAATTAAATGATATAAATTAATTTTATAATTATTATAAATCTAAATTTAAAAAAAACAAATCTAATGTGTGAATCAATATCTCGGTCGACACGAAATCTCCCCGCAATGACAAAAGTGATTACTGTTATTGTTCTTCGTTGACAACTCTTGCAAGTGTTTAGTCATGTGTTTGATTAATGTTTCGGCAGTCGGCGCCCGAAACAGACAGTTAGCATCGCGACAGACATAGATCTTCAGATATTCCGAATTATGATACATAAGTTCAGTCAAAGTATCCGATCTGAATCTAGGTTTACATGTCTTGTGTACACATTTATACGGTAAGTCATCCGATTCGTCATCTGATGACGACTCAACTGGCGATATAATTGGCATCGGTTTTATCGATGATCTAATTGGCGCCGGTTTTATCGGTGATTGTCTAATTGGCGATACTGTTTGTTCAGTGATCGGCAATTTAGTCGGTGTTTTAATTAATTCAATCAGTGGTTCAATCGATTGTTTATTTGGTGATTCAGATGGTCTGCTAATTGATGGCTCAATTAATGAATTACCAGTAGTTGTTGTTAACTGTTTTGGTAACAGAAGTGACTCTCCAGTTGACGGCTCGTATGATATGTTTATTGGCAATGGTTTTGATATTCTGTTTGGCGACTCATTTGGTGACCTAATTGACGAGTCGTTTGATATCATAATTGGCGAACTATTACTCGACTTAATTGGCGTATCAATCGATGGTTTGATCCGCAGTTCGGCCGACGAATCAAACGACGAGTCCATTGGCTGATCAAATGACAAATCGTTGTCATTGTGTTCGTCAATGCGTTCGTCTTTGACTCGTCTTCTCTGTATTTTTTGCCGCCGTCGTTGTGTCCTTAACTTCTGTGCCATATTAATAATATCTTCGACCACAATATCTTCGTCGACAGTCTTTACTTCGTCGACAATTGCGATACCGTCCGAGTCATCCGAGTCGTCGTCCAATACATGCACTTCTTGGACATCACTGTTAGTATTATTATTATTATCATTAATATCATCATCGCTATCATCGATGACCACTATTTCATTGTTTTTATTGTTGTTGGTGTTGTTGGCCATCACTTTCAGATAATAAGTAATCACCAGATTGTTCACAAACAACACTTATATATTAATTATGATATACTGTATAATAACTGTATTGTAGTTGTAATCAAATTAAACCAAAAAATATTATGAATTGATATTATTATTATTATTATTAAATATTTGAAATATTATTATTTTGTTTACACTTTATTATGTTTTAATGTGTAAACAATAGGTATCGACACTTGTAATGTATTGTACAATAAAAAGTATTGCATTACTATTGGCTTATTATTTATATAAGTAAACGCTATCTAACATTATATACTTGTATTATAATTTATAAATGTATTAAATGTTATGGCAATACATACTGTACTATAAGTGTTGTATTATTATTATTATTATAGTACAGTAGTATTAGTAATACTGTAATACATAATACATATATTATATTAACTGTTGTTGTCTTTTAGTGCACTTTTAAAAACACAACGTTTACGCCATTAATGTTTGCGTTATTATTATTATTACTACTATTATTATAATATGATTACAACCAACACATTATTATTATTATTATTATTAATCCAGTGATTAATTAAAAATAATATAACTTAAATTAATTGATTTAATAAAATAAATAATAATAATAACAAAACAACGTTGTGTTTATTGTATTTTATATTTGTGTACAAATATTTTATTTTGTAATCAAAAAAAAAAAATTAAAATAATTTTTTTTGTCTTAAATAATATATTTATTAATATTATAATATTATTTATTTGTTTTGTTTGTTTCATTTATATTAATAATTATTTTATTTTAAAAAAAATCATTGCAATTAATAACTTAAATATTGATATAATAATTATTTTTAAAAATTTTACTATTTATTTGAAATTATATCTATTTATAACTATTATATTATTATTATTATTATTATTGATATCATATTAGTTTTTGATAGTGAATATTATTTTTTTTTTAAACTATTAAATTTATAAATGTTTTTACAATTTTATTAGTGATATCATATATGATATATATGTATATTATTTAAAAGATTTGTAATAATTATAATATTAAATAATAATAATAATATCAAATTAATATATATTAGTTTAATTGCACATAACGTTTGCAATACATTATTATTATTATTATTGTCGTTATATATCAATATATGATATATTGACCAAAACTATTAGTGATAAAACAATTGATAGCCATTTCTTATAAAAACACTGTTAATAGTCATAACATTTTTTTTATTAATATATAATAATAACATTTTTAAGTCAAATATCTCGTCCTGATTTTACTTCCCGCCCGACTAAAGTGGTCAATACACACACACACACACACCCGAAAGTGGCCACCAATAAGATGATTGATTGACTGATTGATAAGCATTTTTAGATGGCATACGAAGGATAACGACAGAAACTGAAAGCCGTTTATAAAGATAACCCAAGAAGAAGACGACGACGAAGAAGAAGATACGACAGCAATGGATGTGAATCTGGAGAATCTGAACGTAGTTTACGACCCGAACGCCGATTTGCTATTACTGGAAGTGCTTAACTACATTAGCGGCGGTCAGCCAAAGGTTACGGCCATCAGTTTGCTGCGCGACGGCGAAAGTCTCATTAGAGTGATCTCCGCTTTCGAAAAGCAGACCAAATGGCAATCGAGTCAAGTGATCGACTTGTTCTTCAAGTACAAGAACGACGCTATAACCGGCTTTCAGTTTATTAACGGTTGGCTCGACTATTATTATGGTACCACAGGTCTCGTTATGGTTACCGACGCGTTTCGGTTCGCTAGCAACGAGATAGTGGTGACCACGGCGTTGCTCGTACTCAATGTTCTGTACATTAAGAGAGATTCACTCACCTATGATCTCAAGACACGATTGGAAGCGCTTTGGGTGGACTTCGGCTCAGCCGTTGATTCGATTATCGTCTGGATGCGAACCAGAGCTCAACTCATGGACACCAATACTGGTCTCCACACGTGCGCACACCAACTCTTTTCTGGTCATTCACTACAAGAATTTCAATCCATTCAGCAAAGACTTACTCAAATGGTAAACAAACACAAAATAACATTACTTTTTGATAAATACCGCTAATTGTCATTTGTATTGTCATTTTATTTTATGTTGTTTAGGTTCAGCAGAAGCTCATAAATGATTTGATGAAGAAGGTAAACGACAAGGACATACTGATCAAACAACAAGCGAAAGATTTTGCCGATTTGGGAACAAAGATGTATCCCTTAGTCCAAGAACTAAAAGAACTTAAGAACCAGAACGTCATTCTCGCCTCAGAAGTCAAGTGGCAGATGAGTGCCAACAAAGAGCTCAATCAAACTGTGGCCAAATTGGAACACGAAAACCAAGTGCTCAAGAAGTTGGCTCTTAAAAACAATAGCTTTCTCAACGATATCATCAATAAGAGTGATTCAACCACCGGTGCTACAAAAGACATATCAATACAGCTTATGGATGAGCCCAACAACAACACTAACTCATCTCAAAGCAACAATGGATCAAATTTTGATGAACCGTCATCATCATCGCCAGTCAATAGTAACGGTTCAGATGATAAACCCGAGTCTTCTAAGGCAAGTGCTAAACAAATGAATGAAATTACTGGAAATTATGAACGAAATGAGGACACAGATTCGTCAACTGAAATCGAGGACATCACTGATAGTGGCAATCATTCAGACGCGGCCACCGATGATCTACTATTGGAGATCAATCAGATATCGCCAAAATCTGATGACACCGCCAATAGTAGCAGCAATGATGTGATGACGAAGAATAATGATAATAACAATAACAAAAACGAGATAAAAGAATGTAAATCGTGGGAAGAGTTCTTTGCCAATGATAGCAATAATAAGCATGACTTGAATGACGACGAGAAACAGTTGCAGGAATCGGTTGACCACCAGAAGCCAGAGTCGGTCCAACCAAATGATACTTACAATAATAATAATAATATTAATAAATCTAATCAAAGTCTGGGTACAAACGATAATAGGATTTCCGCATTAATAATCAACTGAAATATGTTTGATTATGATATCCGCAAAAAAACAAATGCATTAACAAAACAAAACAAAAAGTTTGTTTCAGAAAAAATACATTTTAAAAAACTTACCGAAAGATTATCTTTAAAAATAAATATTTTCACTCCATTTTCCTCTATCTCTTCCTCTTTTTATTATCTCTTTCTCTCAACTCTCTCGTCAAATGAGATATAAAGAAAAAAATGAAACAAATTATAAATCAAATCATTCTTTTTTTAGATAAATTTTTACCCAAATTTTACAAATATATTGTATATTTAATTAAAAATAATTGACTCTTTTTATTATTATTATTAATTACGGTAATTACAGCTTTATTCAGTCATATATATATATATATATATATATATATATTTCGTGTGTATTTCCCGTTTTTATTTTTTCACATTTAAGACATTTTATTTTTTTCTCGCTCTCAACAAATATCAATTTTTACAAATTGTTATCTATTTATCTATTATTATTATTATATTGATTATTATTTTATAAAAATGCAATATTATATATATGTGAATCCGAAAAAAATACTGTATTATATTTAATATTTACATTTATATATTGATATTGATATATGTAATGAAAAAAGTGCACTTATTTTACGGTATATTTTATGTATACTATTCTTATAATTATAATATTTATCTCTTTATTTTAGATGAAACAAAAAAAAAAGATTTGTCAAAATTTATTTTTTAAGTTCCTATATGGCTATATACATATAAAATAAAATATTAATTTATATTTATACACAAACAACAAAACACCTACTACCTACTATGTTATTATTATTATTATTATTATTATTATAATCTACTATAATTGATTACAAACCATATCTTTATATATTATATATATATATATTTATTAGTCAAACTAATCAACGACTATACAAATTGATAGATTGAATTGTTAGATATTATTTTTTGTCTTTAGTTTTTTTTCTCTCAATGCAAACACAAAAAAATAACACTTTAATTATTATTATTATTACTATTACTATTAAATGAATTCAATTGTGATTATAATTATGTGTGAAGACATTTGTGTCTACCATTGAAGCCATTGTCAAAACTGAATACAATATTATAATTATATATTATAATGACTTAGTTTTTTTGTTTATTATATAATTGATATTAATATTATTATTGATTATGAAGATTATTATTTTTGAGTCAAATTTAATGTTTAAAAATTATCACAAAATAAAAGTGACATTTAAAAAAAATTGTGATTTATTTAAATAAATAAATAAAGAAAATGATTTTGTTAACGATTTTTGTCTAGTATTTTATTTGATATTTTATTATTAGCTATAAAAACTATAATTAAACATAAATAAATAATTAATCTAAATTTTCCCCACAATTAGCACAATATGATAAATATTTTTACTTATAATTATTTTTTTTWAAAAAAGATACAAATAATTCTAACCTTACACTTAAATAAATACAATATGTATAATACTGTATGTATTAATACTGTATAATATATAGTGTATATTAATAGTAAATTTATAGTGTGTATAATTATAAGTTATAAATATATAAAATTTATATATATATATATGTTTACTCTTAATGAGTGTTAAAATAAATTGGCGAAAAATATAACATTTAATTACTTGTATTGAAATAAAAAACGCACAAATTTTGCTGAAATGTCATACAATTATGATAATAATAACAATAATAATTGTAACTGTAGTTCAAATATAATCATTTAAAAACTTATTACACGCAATCAATTATATTCATAATTTTTTGTTGTTGTTTGTAAGGCTTTGAAATTGTAATTATTTTTTTTGTATGACTTCTGAAATTTAAAGATAATTTTTTTTTGATACACTTATATATACTACTATTATATACAACTAATTGAAGAAAAAAGTTATTTTAATACTTTCTTTAACTGCAAACCTCTTGCAAACTAATTGCATGAATACAAACAACACCAAGAATTTGTCTCATGAATTGTCGCTAATATCACATTATTTGTCTGTATTTTTTTGATGAACAAAGAGATCCAGTTGTTTGATATTTAAACGTTATATTCAACTGAAACAGCTCTCAATTCAAGTCTTTGTGTATCTCTTGATATTTTCGTCTTCAACATTGGCATCGGCCCTTCTCTCTCTCTCTCTCTCTCTCTCTCTCTCTCTCTCTCTCTCTCTCTCTCWCTCACTCACTCACTCACTCACTCACTCAAACTATAAAATAGTATAATATTTTTATATTAAGTATATTAATATAATATTTTGAGTATAGTATAGTAATCGTTGGTTCCGCTTTTGTCGGCGCTTTCAGACAACACACACAAACACACACACAYACATACACACACACAMACACACACACACACACACACATACACACACACACACACACACACACACACACACACATACATACACACACACATACATATACACACATAATCGGGGTTTAAAAAGATTAAGAATAAACAGTCTATTTTGATATCCAATTTCATTCGCATATTTGACAGCAAAGCATAACTTTTTATGACTTAAATTGCTTTCAACAACAAAACATATAACACATTGTGTGTATATATATATAAATAATTTTAGAAAAGCAAATTAAGTTATATCTCATTAAACAAAAAACAAAAATAAGACATTATTTAATTAAAAATTTGTCAAAACAAATAATTATTAAAAAAATAACAAATAAAACAAAGTTAACAAAATTTTAATTGTTTGTAACGACAATATTGTATAATCATTTAAAATAACATTTGACTTTTTTGTTGTTGCATTTAGATTGTAATCAACGTATCCCTCTATGTTTAAGTGGTGTATCTGTCACTTAGTTATCTTTTTTGTTGTTGTTGTTGTTGTTTAAAACTGATAGACAAACTGATGTGAAATTATGGATAACTTTAAACTAAACTTTTTTTGAAAAAAATACCTAAAACTCCAAACATAAACCAAAATAATTTTTTTTTCCAAAAAAAAATCTTGAAATCAGTCCGAAAGACAAACTTTACGGACAATTAACCGCACGAACATAACGGTGCTCTTTGACGACTTGACTTTTTTTTGAACAGTTTATATACTATAGTCAATGCTTTGTTTTATGCAAAACTAACGTTAAATATATATAAGAGTAAAACAGTACTTAAATTAAATAAAGATATGACTGAACTTATCATTTGCTACTCTTCTTTATCGTCATCTTCTTCTTCTTAAGTCTTAATATTCATCTCTTAAATGGTAATTCAATCCCTCAATAGTTGCGATTCACTCACTACTGGGGATATGTGTGTCGGTGTGCGCTATAATTACACTCCATATCCAGGTGGACACAACTGTGCTCTCTGTTAGTATGTATGTGCTCAGCACCCAAACCCCCAACTATTACAGTTACACACACACACACACACACACACACACACACACACACACACACACACACACACACACACACACACACACACACACACACACACACACACACACACACACACACACACACACACACACACACACAACACACACACACACATACATACATACATACAAACAGTGACGTATCCATATCCTCCTGTTTTCCGATTTTTTCCCAGTGTTTGCATCACACTATTTGTAGATCATCTTCCAAGAGTTAAGAGACAATCATCAGTGAAAATAAATAAATAGTTAAAACAGATTAAGACATACCAGTAGTAGTAGGAGTAGTACTGTAGTAGTAATAGTAGTAACTCCTACTAATAACTGTCTTTTTTTAAAGAGGAGTTTTTTAAACTGGTGTTGTTTTGTGTGACAAATTGAAGTTTTTTACACATTCAATGAATGAGCAAAAGAGAGATAACTGTGCGACAAATCAGTGAAACATCACTTCTCGACTAACTTTTTTTTAACGCTTTTGTCATAATTATTGGGTTTTAATTTCATTTATGATATAAACTAAAAAAAATAAAACTTGTAATATTTTTTGTTGTTGAAAAAAATCAATTCAAACTTCAAAAGTTGGACAATAAGTTTTCGGTGACAATGAATGCCAACAATAGTCGACGTGTTTTACGGACACCGAAATGCGCCAAATGTCGGAATCACGGAATCGTTTCATGTCTTAAAGGTAAGTCATATACTATTTATTTATTTTTAAAAGTGCCAATTGGTTGGCACAAAATGTATGAAATGCTGATTATGTTGATTATGTTGGACACACCGGAACCGTTAGGTCACAAGAAGTATTGTCAATGGAAAGAATGTAAATGCAATAACTGTATTCTTGTGGTCGAACGCCAGAAAGTGATGGCCACTCAAGTGGCACTCAGACGACAACAGATATCCAGTACCGGTAAGGATAGGACAGCCATCGAGACTGTACTGATGGAACAGAAACGCCGATATCAGGTCCAACTGAGAACTGTACAGAAGGCCATCCGCAATGAAATGATACGTGAAAAACAAAACGCCAGTCTCTATCTCCAGAATCCGTATATCGCAAAAATGATTAAACGACGCAAGAATTACGGTATTGGAGTGATACCCGAACCGAAACTATGGCCATTCCTGGCCACTGCCACCACCACTGGTGTCGAAGACAATAGTCTACTATCGTTAACTGATCATCAATCAACAACTTATGTATCACATATGATTGACACTCAAACCATTTCATCATCACTATCATCATCGTCATCATCATCAGTATCACCAATAGTTTACTCGAGTTCAATGCCATCACTTATGGCACTTAATTATCTACGATTGGCGACAACAACCAATCCATTATTATTTCATACATCAGCAGCACATTTACACAATGATTATAACAATAGTATAACTGGTTTTCCGGTTACAGTATTGCCAGCGGATGGTAAGCCAAAGCAATCAGAAATTTTCGCAAACAAAACAACGACTACTAGTTTCTCAAAGAGTTTTACCGTCGATGCTATACTCGGGAAGTCATAATCACAGATGAAAAGTGATAACCAAATAATAAATATATTTATTATATATATATATACCCTTACCTAATAAGTGCCGCTTAAGAAACACAAACCAAAGAGAGAGAGAGAGAGAGAGAGAGAGAGAGAGAGAGAGAGAGAGAGAGAGAGAGAGAGAGAGAGAGAGAGAGAGAGAGAGAGAGAGAGAGAGAGAGAGAGAGAGAGAGAGAGAGAGAGAGAGAGAGAGAGAGAGAGAGAGAGAGAGAGAGAGAGAGAGAGAGAGAGAGAGAGAGAGAGAGAGAGAGAGAGAGAGAGAGAGAGAGAGAGAGAGAGAGAGAGAGAGAGAGAGAGAGAGAGAGAGAGAGAGAGAGAGAGAGAGAGAGAGAGAGAGAGAGAGAGAGAGAGAGAGAGAGAGAGAGAGAGAGAGAGAGAGAGAGAGAGAGAGAGAGAGAGAGAGAGAGAGAGAGAGAGAGAGAGAGAGAGAGAGAGAGAGAGAGAGAGAGAGATTTTTATTTTTTCTCTCACTCATGACTTTGTCTTTATTTAATTTTTTTTATTTATTATTAGAGTGAATGAGATTTGAAACTTAATACTAAAAAACAAATATAAATATAAAACTCTGGTTTAATATTTAATATGAATACTATTTAATTGTATATACGCTCTCATGTTTTTAATTACATAAAAATTTTTCTTATAGTATTATATTTAGTCAAATAATAAATGTGATTAATTAAAATAATATTAAGTTAATAATAATTAACTAATAATATACACCAACAAATTGTTTGTAAAATATTTATTAAAAATAATAATAGTAATAATAATAATAATATATATACCAAGACAAAAAAAATTATTAAATTAAACAAAAAAGTACTATCAATATTAAATCCCAACAAAAAATAATTGCATTTAATAAACTTATAATTAAACTAAAACACATTTAAATATACACAAATTTTAGTATTCAACGAAACTTACTTTTTTTAAGAAAAAAAAATATTAAATTATTAAATCAAATAATAAATACATCACTAAATTGGGCTCCAAAATATTATTACACTAGTTTTACATTAAATTATTTTTTTTGTTGCTATTAATTAATATACAGTAATTACTGGAATGTCTTTTGAAGACATTTTGCTAATAATAATAAAATAATAATAATTATTATTATATGTCGATATTAATAATTAATTAAATAGTCATATCATCAATGTATTAGGATTAGAGTCAGAGATTAGACATTACAGGATAAAGGATTATTAATATTAATTATGGAAATTATATTTCAATATTTAAATAAATTATATAAAGTTATGTAAAAAAAATTATCACTTAAATAATGAAAAATAAAGTAAAATTATGGACAATCAATTATATATAGATATATACGGTATTATAAATATGAATGGATACATTTGTGGGACATTATATGTTATAAATGTAATATTATTTTATACATTAAAGGAATCGACAGTTATGTATGTATTAATCGGTGTATCTCTTTGGGAAAATCTACCGGTGCTGCGATACGTCAGTTATTATATAATGCCGAACGAGTCAGTGGCCTAACGAGTGAGTCATGATCGTGGGTCGCATCGATTGTGTGGTAATGATCGGGTAACTGACGAGCGGCGCGGAACTGCTTAGCGATACGCTGGTGGGCAATGACATCGATGCTATTGACGATATGGGTAGACTGGTTATGGCGGTTGGCTGTATGCCGAGAGAGGCCGCGGGCACTAAAGCGTTGGTAACTAACGCTGTGCTAACGGCAGCTAAATCGGGCTGTCGCTGTTGGCCCATCAGATCGGAAGTAGACATCGGCGGCAATGGTGGCGCCATTGAGACCACGGGTGCCGCTGGCTGTGATTGTACCTGACCAGCCTTGCCGATAGCGCGCAACTGTGCGTTTTGCTCTAAGAGAAACTCGTTTGTGGCCATGAGGTCGGCCACCTGTTTCTTAAGCTCGTCGATACGTCGTCGCAGCGCTGCGTTCTCTTCCTCCAGATATCGGGCGGAAGAATACATAGCATTCTGGGCCAGACCTGCGCTCGCGTTCGGCCCATGCATTGCGCGGCCACTGCTCGACCCGTAGTCAAAGTCGTGCGCACTGTTGTTGTTCATGCCCTGTAGGCCGCCGAGTCCGGCAACATTTCCGCCGCCCTGTCCACCGCGATCGCCGTACGGAGCAAAGCTGTTCGTATTGTATGCGGCGCTTGTGTCGTACGCGCGGCGTTTCGGTTCGGGCGGCGAAAAGTTGTCGTTAAAGGAGGCATTAAACGAGTTATGCATTGGATTGCGCGACGCCGGGTGCGGCCCATCGTAACGGGACGACCCGTGATGTCCGCCACCGCTGCTGCCGCCGCCACCACTCGACGAGTGATTATTAGCGCCGCCGCGCGCTTGCATTTCCATATCGTACTCGGACTGCGACACGTGTCGAAACTTACATCGGCCGGGACCGCGACGGCACTCGCCTTTCAAATAATCCTTACAAACGGGAACATTGGTCACCATCATCGATGTCGACATTACATTCGACTGTTGCATCATTTCCGAGGCCTTATTTTGTGCCATTTTGTCCAACACGTGTTGCGGCAATTTGCCAGTCGATCGGTAAACCTCTTCCTCTTGTTTGGTACAATGCAAGAAACGACAGTTCTGTCGACGACACTCACGATTCTGGTAGTCGTGACAGAAGATGTATTCAATCTTTTTGCCCAACTCTTCCGCTTCCGATGGGTCCGGATGTCGGAAACGACAGGCATTTCCCCGACGGCAAACATTGCGCAAAAAGTCGCGACACACGTCACCGATGCCGTCGTCGTGTAGACCGCCGTGACTATGATTGTCGTTAATGTTGTTGTTGTTGTTGATGGACACGTGATTCAGATGATGGTCGCCGAGTCCTAGGAGGCCGTTGTCCTCGTTATTAATTAGCGGTAAGTCAGACATCACTGACAATACATTATTTGTCGAGCGATTCATAAATTTACAAACAATGGATGCATTCATATAGTTATACATTGATTATAACAATTCAATTGCTGACACCTATTGACTATAATTACAATCAATAAATATACTATTTTTTGTAAAATCATTTTTTAATCATAACTTACTTTTAATTATTTGTATTATATTTTAATAATTATTATTATTAATTTAATTAATTAATTATAATTGAAATCAAAATTATTTGTTGTTATTATTATTATTTCATTGTAATAAATGTACGAAAAAAATAATTTTACTTAAATCGGATGTCTTGTTTGTCACACATGTGTACACAAAAAATAATAATTTTATTTTTTTTGTTGTTGAATAAAATTCAATATTTTGAAAAATTAATAGCAATTATTAGTTTTTATTAAATATATATATATTTTTTGATAAATGAAATGATATTGAGTATTGTTTTTATCAGATAATTTTATGTTAACTAAATAATTGATATTAAATTTTTATTTGATAATAAAATTTTTGTTAAAATTTCCATAACTTTTTTGTTGTTATTTACGTTAGCATCAAATATTTCCATAACTTAAATATAATGTAAATTTATTAAACTTTTATTTAGCTATTTTTTAAAACTAGTATAAATTTACTAATATGCTAAACGTTGCTATTAATGTTTAAAAAATAATAATAATAAAAATTCTAATAATTTATAATCTTTTTTTTTAAATTTCATCAAATTTCAGATAATTCATTAATATTTTATTAAAAAATTAAAAATTAATAGATAGTAAATTTTATAAAATAAATATTATAAATTAGTTAATAATAGAAACAGAAATAAATTGTAAATTTATAGTAAATTTGATACTTAATTAATTCATAGGCTTTAAAATAGTTCAAACAATATAATAGTTAATTTGACAAATTGTCGCAAATACTTAAACCATTGAATATTTATATAAGTAATTGTATTTTAGAGTAATTTATTATGACAATTATTAATTTTATTAATGTATACAATTGTATACAATGCTAAAGGATCTACGACAATTTGTCAAAATTGACTATACTTTTTAAATAAATAAAGTACAAATTACTATACAATTAATGATTGTTATATATATGCTGCTGTATTGTTATAAAATATATATACAATATATTAATATATTTAAATTACGCTTATTTTAAATCCAGTGCCATATTTGGACTGTCGGTCAACCCATAGTCGGGCGAAAGGTTCCGATAGCCACAAAAGTGCGGCCAAAAGAGCCAAAGTGCCGACACAGTGAAACAGGCCATCGTACGAGTTATATGTGTCCCGAAAATAACCGACAATCAGTGGACGTGTCAGTGTGGTCAGGCCTACTATAAGTGATGATATGCCCAGAGCTATAGGCAAGTGCTGGAGGCCTACGTACTCCATAGTCAGTACACTGAACAGTACGATAATACTGCCGCATACAAACCCGAGAAAAGTGGTCATTGATAACAACACCGCAAAGTTGTGGGCAACCGGTGTCATGAATATGAGTGCACCGATCAATAGGATACAGACGGACACTATGTTTCGTTTGCGTACCAAACGACGATCAGCTATTAATCCAGAAGCCAGTCGTCCGAATAGGTCGGCGATGGCGAAGGAACTCAATAAGACAACAGCTTTAAAACTAGACATTTCCCGATCAATGGCAAAGTCAATGATAACCATCTGGTGTGTCATCCAACTGATTTGCCAAAAGAAAATACAAACAAAATAAAAATAAGATTAGAAAATATCATTTAATTTGATGAAGAGATCTGATGTTTCAATTACCACCATTGAAACGCTACGTGAGTTATAGTGAGTATCAAATACAATGGATTACTGATGACAGCTACAAAATTTTGCCAAAATTTTTGCCATTCAGTCAATTGGTTATCGGTTTGGACACCCTTTTCAGTGACCAGAGTGTCGATACATTCGTTATAAAAATATATATCTTTCTCAACGCAAACACAATTCTGTGGATCAGATAATATAGCTGTCAAATGGTTTATAGTATAGATATCTTCTTCTAAATCCTCGCAGTTGTTAATCAATGTCGCAGCGATTGTTTTCATCGGCGCATCGTTTATGTCATCAGTGGTATGAATGGTCTTTTGGCAGACAGTTGTGTATCGGGAAAGCAGTGATTTATTTAGAGATTTTTGTGTCGTTTTCAGTGCAATCATCTCTTGTTGATTTGATATCAATTTATTGCCTTTTTGCTGATCACCTAATGCTGTGGACAGTTGTTTGTGTACTCCTTTCCACAGTTTGTTGACTTTGGTTTCGTTGGGTGTGGGCGGCCGTAACAATAGGGCAAACGGTAATGAATTGAGTAAAATACCGCCAATCAATAGGAAGGCACCGTTGAGACCGTATTGATCGAGTAAGTAGTCGAGTACCGGCGGGAATATAAATGAACCAATAGTTCCGCCGGCATAGGAAATGGCTGTTTAAGACATACATATTGTCTATTAGCTACCATTTAATATATCATCAATTCATACCAGTAGCTGTGGCTCTGTATTTTTGAAAATACTGGGCCAATATGACTGGTGTCTGCATAAATGATAGACCAATACCGAAACCTATTGTAGTTTAGTTTAGGGTTTTTGTTTGATAACTGACTTTTAATAGAACTGGTATGTTATACTATATACTATATATTAATTTAGGACATACCCTGAACAATGCCAATTAATAAAGTAATCTCTAAAATTGTTGTCGAAAAATAACACAAACTAATACCGACTCCAGCTATAAAACCACCGATGAATACAATGGTTCTCATAGTATAACGATTCAGTAATATACCGGCCACTGGTCCTATTGAATGAGTTATTGATTTTATTGATTTTTCTTTTTWWWAAAAAACTAATTATAATAAAATTCATTAATACCCGATAGATAAGTGAATGAAGTGCACAGACAGAAGGGCCAGATGGCCGACTCCCGACTCAATTGATAAGTAGATCGGAGTTGAAAAAATAGGACACCATAGGAACGGACCAAACCAAATGTTATGCCATTAATCACAGCACATGCTATCGATATGACCCACGCCCAACCATGGTCGGGTGTCACATGTGTCACCAACGGTTTTGTTGATGATGACCCCCGTTGTTCACTGTCTAACTGATTCATTAAAATTAATATTTTTTAAAAAAAATAAAATAAACAAATCTTGAATGTCTACTACAGTAGTACTGATTTTGTCATTATTGTTAATTATTACTAAACTGTATTATATTAGTATATAAACTAATAATTTTTATACAAATTTAATAAGAAAATAAAATATAAAAGTTGTTTTTTTATTATATTTATTTATTTCTTGCAATTCATTTATACAATTCATTTTAAATGATGACACTTATAATTAACTGATAAAAGATAATAAATTTATTTTAGGTATATCCTGATGCATATAAAAATCCAATTACATACTAGATATCAATGATTTTGCAAAATTAAATGATTTAATAAATAAATATAATTTATTATCGATTTATAAAATCAATAAAAATTTTCTAGTACATATTATAGTATTTTTTTTATTTAATTAAATATTACGATAAATTTGATGCAATGCTTAAATAATTTATTTTAATACTTATTCATTAGTACTGTAAAAATACAATGTATGTAAATAAAATATTTTTAATACAAAAATATTTAATAGTAATAACAATAATATCTAATAGATATAAAAAATAAAAATTATATTACATTTTATGTATTTGTTTGGAAAATTTAATTAAATAAAAAAAATTGCTGGTAATTATACTTTATAAGTTATATTCCATAATTATATATATATATATATATTTGTTATTTCTGTTTACATTTTAGTTATCTTCAAAACGGGTACTAAATTTCTTTGATTATAACCAATAGTAAAATTATTGTTATGATTTTTATTGTTGAACATATTTATATCCAATTGGTTAACTACTCGGTGATCATTATCATCGGCATCTTTTTTATGGCTATGGTGTCCATAAAATATGAGTTTCTCTAAGTTAGCAAATGGGGCCTCAAATAAAAAGTAAAGAATCGCCGCCAATATATGACTTAATATGATTGTAATCATTCCGGTAGTTATCTGTATATTAAATATTAGATATAATATAAATTAAATATATATAAAGTAGTAATGTTTATGACAACAAATAATATTAATATATTATTTATATTATAAATTAGTTTTGACTGTTATATTGGCCGTAAAAGTGATATATATGTCTATAATATAATATAATAGATAACTAGTTTTTATTTGGATGACTATATTATTATTATTATTATTATTATCAATAATAAAAATATACGCACAAAATAAAAGTGAGTCCAATCTGTTGTTGACTTTTTCGTGAAAAATATGATGAATATGACGACCATATGAGACAAATAGACGCCAAAACTTAGACGACTTAATGGTATAAACCATGGATGCGAAAGAATTTTATTGACGATTCCTAAATATATACAGTATATACAGTACACACATACAGTATAATGTTATTTATATATACAGAATATTTTGTATAAAATAATAAAATTAATTGTATGCTATTATATATGCTTGGATAAATAAATAGACAAATTTTATGTGATAAATAATAATAAAGTTAAAATAAACAATATGGTATATATATATACAGACCTCCAGATCCTATACAACAAATATATGTAATCCATGACAATCCCATACACCAAATGGTTCGCGAAAGACTTGAATACAATATCGAGGACAGCCTACTGGGCTCTACGCCCTGATTCCAATAGTAGGCACAGAATATTACGGATAGACAGATGAATGGACTAACAATCCATGGGATTATCATTTTTGACTGTTTTATTATAAATATATATATATATATAAAAGGAAAAAAAGAAAAATAATAAAAATTTTAAGTTTACTGTATGGTGTAGTTGACTGTAAAAATATATTTTTAAAACATAAAAGTCATATAATTGATGAATTTGGAGGCAATTTTTTTGTAATAATATCTGTGAACTTTAAGGCTTTAAAAAATTTAAATATTATATATAATTTACTATAGTTAGTATATAATATTTGAATAAATATCAGTAGTTTATAAAATAAATTATCATAGATTTAAATTTATGTGTGTGTGTGTCTATGGTTTGTTTGTTTGTTCATGTATTTAAGTGTTATTGTATTATACAGTACAGTATAAACATGTTTATTATATTTATTATTATATAATGCTATCAATATTGATGATAATAACCGATAATGTTATGTAAATATTGATTGACTCACTAGACACTAGACATAATCGTCAAACAGCATCACTGTTGTTGCTGTAGTTGTATGAATAGTATGGTTATTGTGTAATATTAATAAAAATAAATACTTAAATACTATATTATATCAAATGTAAAGAGACACTATTGATATCCAAAATCAGTCATTATTGTCATTATATTAGATATAAAGTATAGTATTATTATTATTGATATATAATCTGAAACCTTTGGTAATTGATGATTATTTGGTGTATTGAGCAAAAAATAGCCGATAAATATGCCACAACAATATGGACCTAAATGATGAAATGTCCAAAAATAGCCGTATCTCAGATGGTGCTCAACATAACTATTTTCGTATAAAAAATTATAATATATATATATATTGTAATTAAAATTAATATGAATTTTTAAAAATTGTTTAATATGTAAATTTTTATATACAGTATATATATATATACTATATATACTGTACAAAATAAAATCATATAATATTTTCGTACTCAAGATTTATGGTGTGCACATTAAGTAGGGTTGGATACAAATGATAGTAATATGTGGTAAATGCCGATCCCATTATCGAGATGACCAGTACCACTCCATTTAATATAAGTCCTAATCTAACGTTCCTATTATAATAAAGATATTATATGTGGTTGAATATGCGATATTATATATTATGTAATATACTTTACATATGCAAAAATCAAAAATGAAAAATGAGAGTAAATTAGTTATATAATGATACTAACAACACATTTGTATATACAGTATAAAGTTTTTGAGCTAAAGCATATATATATATATATATTTAAATTATGATACGGCATTATGATCATACATAATATGGATAATAAATGTAAAAATGTTGTATAATTTTTATACTATAAAAAACCATTTTAGCATTTTGTAAATAGGATGCAGATTATATAATTATAATGATTTTAAAGTGCTTTACATTAAGTTAGATAACATTGTACTGTATAAGCGAAAATCTTTAAAATGTTTAACATAATAGCAAAAATTGAAATACAAAAATTTAATAATTTTGTTTTTCTCATCATTTTCTACATATGATGTGTTTTACATAATAATTGTAATTACATATAGTTATTTACATTACTACTTTATTGCAAAATAGCATAAATTATAAGTAAATTTATATATATATATAAACCTTATATACTATACATAAAATTTATGAAAAAATGCATTTTTACTTTTAAAAAAAAATATTTCTAGATATTCTTAAGTAATAAATAATTAAAATGTATTAAAAACAACTCCAGTGTAAACCCTTAAAACATTACTGTATTACATATACAGTGAAAGGCAAACAAAAAATATGCAAAATATGTATAAAAATTAAGTAACATTACCAGTAAAATGCATATATAATTAGTATCGCGCATAAAAACAGTTGAAAGTCGGCACTCAAATACCAAGTGTTTATCAGACACTAAATAAATTTAAGAGAAGAAAAAAATGTCAAATAAAATATAAAAATTTTAATAATAATAATAAAAATAATAATAATAATAAAAGATTGCCTACAATATCGTCCGGTGCAAACCAATTATTAATTAGCAATATATTGTGCCACCAATTGTTGCGACAACTTTGGCTCAGATATACATCGGTAGAGTCATCAATAAGTATAGGTCCTAATATTATAGTGAAATACAGTAAATATATAAATGCATTATACATGAAATATAAATCTCATATTAGCATTATTTCTTAGTAATATATATTTATATAATGTTATAATATAACGGAAGTACAGTACTATATACTGATATATATATATATCATATTCTGTAAATGTATAATACTATACAGTAATCTCAATATTTATTTTGTATATATGATTCAAGTAGTATTGTATGTATCATATGTTTAGTGTACTGTACTGTACATAATTGCTTTACTAATGTTACATATGAGACATTCATTCAATGATATCTATATGTATATATTTATATACAGTATACGTTATAATCAATATTAATAATGTTTTATATTATTAATAAATATATAGTATATCTGGTAAGTGTTAGTATTAATATGACATAGAGACACACACACACACACACACATATATATATATTTGATATATAAAATTGTAAGAGATATGACAGTTACCGGTAGTGACTATAGGCCATAGAAAATTGATTGCCATAATACCACATATTGATGGTATAACTCTAAATATAAATATATAAATATAAATTATATTAGATAAATATATATATATATCTTATATACAGTATATATTGAATAAGAAGATTAAATAATAATCACCAATTTTCCACTATTATTATTATTATAATAATAATATTGAATAATAGATATAATGTAATGTATTTTTCATACTATATATATATATATATATATAAATTGTATATAAATTACATTACTTATTCATACCGTATTAGCCGATGTAACACAAGTACTATAATGTTAACTTTTCCCCGACGTTTTTCGAGCATCGGTAGCATAATATAGATGGCCAATAAGCCACTAAAATTAAATATGATAAGCATGATAAGCAAATATTGTATAAATTAAATATATAATTGAGTTGAATATATAAAAATAAAATTGTTATTATTATTATTACCTAATAAAGAAAAATGTTTCGACCAGTGCCCAGGCATTGAAAACTAATTGAAACAACAGGGACTCCGGTATTTTGCGCACCTGTATTAAGCTATCTGATTATCGGATAATTAAATATATGTTAAATTATATTTTTTATTGATAGTAATAATAATAATTTTTAAAAAATTAGCAATTATATTTGCTTGCTAATTATAAAAATAGCATTGATTATTAATATTTTTTTAAGTAAATACAAAATTAATAGTCAATAAACTTATGTTACTTATTATTATTTATTACAATCATTGTTTAATATGATAATTGTTTTATATCACGTTATTTACAATATAAGGAAAATTTAAGGAAAATTTATTACTAATTAAATGTTTTTTCCATTAGTAAATTGGTTTATTGTAAGAGTTTGGTAAAATGATTGATAAAATGCAAAAATCAAATCATCAATTGAATTAATAAAAATCAATATTTTTTATACTTAATCCAAGGTTATATTTAATAAATAGTCAATATATATATATATTATATTAGATATTATATATATTTATATTACATAAATTATAAATAATATTAATAATAATATGTGAATACTTACTATAAATCCATTGAATCTTATAAAAGCCACCAAAAGTATAGTTATGATTGATTGTCGTCCACACGATTGTTAATACTCTGATCCCATGAATGGCCGACATATGTCGTGACGACTTACTAGGACTTGCCGTCAACTGCTTGTAGTTTTGCTGTACTGACCAACACTGGACTAACTTTGTATATAACTTTCGTTTACCATCGTTCAGACAGATGTAAGACAACGATCCGATAATTAGCAAAAATGTCATTACAGTCAATAGAGATCTATATATATATATATATAATTTGTTTGGACTAATCTTATTGCTATTATCGTCAAAATTCAATAATACCATACATGGATACAATTTGATGTGTATTGAGCTCAGTTAGTTCGTGTTTAGACATACACTTAATACTGAGCTGAGGGCGCAGTTTGTATGGTTTGGTAACTTTATGTCAAACAATAAAAAAACAATTTATTAAAAAAAATAATATAAAAACTAATTAATTTGTTCATACATTGGACTAAAAACGGCGTAATATCATCGCGTCGACAGTTAGACGGTATGCATATACCCTGTCGTATGGCACCGACACTATAGATACCGCTGAACACCTCCGAGATGTGTTCAAACACCGTTCCTTCGGCTGGAGTGCCACTCAAATTGAATATTTGTTGATTATGTCGGACAATATCGGGTTTTCGGGGCAATTCTGGCCTAAGGTATAGCCAACAATACTTTCCGTGAAATGCTTCGTCGTATCCATCGTCGGGAACATCAATATCAAGACATTCATCGACGTTACCAAATGAGGTAACTGTGCCCTCGAGAAAACCGGACGGAAGTTTGCCCATTGAGTCCATAACTAAATAGTATTGTATAATCAAAAAAAAAATGAAATCAATATTTCGTTTTCAGTGATCGATTAGATGAAAATAATGTCAACAAAATATTAATATATACAATAATATAAAATATATTATATAAGCTATTGCTTACACTTGACAGCCCAGAGTTCCTGTTTTTTGAAGCTCAGTATGGTTTTAAATAGACTGCCCGTACAGTCTTGTGATATATTGGTGATTTGGTGCTGCGATTTGGCCACAAATGGCAATATCTTATCCCAGAGACGGTCAGATAAATCATTGATCAGTTGATGCCATACAAGTAGGACATTGTCATCGGTTTCTGTGATGTTTCAGTATTAGTAATATTTTAATAATAATAAATAAGGGCTTTAAACTATTTTTTTTTAGTATTATAGACGTCAGTGTTTTAATTAATTATTAAAAATATAATTTTTCGAGATTACAGTTTAATCCTATTTGGCTATTATAAATATAATAAAAATAATTAAAAGTATTGTATTGATTTTTACTTTACAATTACTAAATTAATTATTAGATTAATAAAAATTTTATTTTCTAGACTGTTAATAAATACTGTAATAATTTAATTAATTAATTAATTATATTATAATAATGCTCAACTTATCAAATAATAATTATTTAATAATTAAATAGTTTTGTATTTTTTTAAACGCATAAATAAATCTAAATTATTACAATAAAATAATATACAAGTATTTCATTAGGAAATTATTTGCATACCATTTGGCGGTTTCTGTGCGACGAAATCAATCACTTCATCGGTAATCAAATCAACAAATCTATCACTGGATTCATGAGTTGTGTTGTTGTCGCTGTCATTGTCGCTGTCGTTGTTGTCTTCATAATCATCGACAGCAGTAGTAGTAGTGCTCGTCTCCTGGCATTTGACAGAATAGTTGTCAAACAGTAATGAATGCGATAAAAGTATCGCTACAATCATATAAAAACATAATTCATATGATTTTATCGGTGAAGACATCCTATTAATTTGTTGGCTTATATTTCACACGATTGTCATCGCAAAGACACTTATATGATATACTTTTTTTTTGTTGAAATACCGTATATAAAGTATGATACAGTATATACTAGTATGATATTATATATATATACTGTATATAAGCACTGGTTATCGATGATCGAGAAAAGTTATATCATTTAAATGCTGTGCCAATGAATACTTGACTACACTATAGTATACTACTAAAGATAATATCAAAAAGTATCTCTCTTTAATATATATCATAAATGTATTAAATCAAATATGTTATATCTTTAACACACAATCAAACACACACACACACACACACACACACACACACACACACACACACACACATCCCTACTAATGGTGAGTGAAAAACACTGGGCTTTCAATCATCAAAATAATAATAATAATAATAACAATAGGTTTTGACAATAGTAATGATTATAATAAATATACTAATAAATGATTGTCAAATAATTTGCCGGAGGTTATGATGGTCTCAAACACGGTGTACAACAGTTTAATGATAAAAGAAAAACATATTTGTAAGCAATTAATGTTTGTGTGTCTGTGCTTACAATAATTTAGTAATAATTTATTGAATAATTTTTTCCAGTTATTGTTAAATGTTGATTACAATGTATGAAAATTGATTATCAATATATATTTTATAATAATTGTTATGGTTTTGTTTCTATAAAAATTTAGCTAGCACATTTAAGAAATAATGCAGAAATAAAACTAAAAACATATATGAAAAAAGAAAATTTTAAAGAATATTTTTTTTAGTAGAAAATAATAATATTTTCATTAAACCAATTTAATCTATACAAACAATACATTTAGTTAAGTGAATTGATTTTATTAGCTAAACACACAAATAATAAATAAAACAAGTTTTTCAAATATGTTATTATTATTAGGCGTTGTTCACATATTACGTTCGCAGTTTTTAAAAAATCTAGACCCCCTCCCCCCCTATGTTCGCAATTGTTCACATGTAATGATATTTAAAAATTACGTTCGCATGTCCTTAACCCCCCCCCACCATTTAAATAAATATTTTATAAAATTATTTTCACTTTTAAAATAATCAAATAATAAAATAAATAAATATTATTCAAAAGTCATATATTTATTCAAAATTAGTTATTAAACCGTTTATCAAAGGATTAAGTTTACTCAAAATTAATCCCTTAAATTCATTCATTATTTAAATGCGAACGTTCTTATAGACTTTACCCCCCCTCCCCCTCGTTCGCAAAAGTTCGCTTTGGCCGACCCCCCCCTCCCCTCAAGTGCGAACGTAATATGTGAACAACGCCTTATTATTAAATTAATTGATTTATATATATATAAATTTAACACTACATTTGTTATTTTTATCCTAAAACTACTATTGATGTTCAACGTGTTAGATGTTTATCGTTTAGGATTATTATCGCCTAATAAAAAGCTCAATAATTTACACATAAAACACACAACACATAAAAATAAAATATTTTTGCTGTTGTTGTTTGTTTTAACTGTTAAAATAAAAATAGTTTTGAAGATTTATTAACAATTTTCCAGTAGATGTTTAGCTGTTAAAATAATAACAATAAAAAAATACTAATAATAAAACAATTCGTCTAAATGTAATTTTATTTACTTTATCAAAAAAAACTTGTGCTTTAAAATAATAATCATAATATTATTAAAATTAAAAAATTCAATATTAAGTATATAAAAATTTAAGGTTAGGTAAATTGTTTTATACAATATATAAATTTTTATTTCTTTTAGAAAATTAATTAATGAAAATATTTAAATACTATAGCCTTGAGTGTATAGTATTTAAATATTTTCATTAAGTGTTTAACTAAAAAAATGTCAATTAGAGATTTTAAGTGATTAAAACTTTTGTTTAATAATAATAATAATTTTTTATCAATTAATTGCAATTAGATTTAATTATTAAACAAAACAAATAATTTATGTTTTTTTTAATATATAACGAGTACTTAATAAATATCTCTTAATATTGTAATAATAATAATAAAAATAATAATTAAATAATACCACATTTATTGATTTGAAATGTAAACAATTAAACAATAATATTAAAATAACTAGTTTAAATAAATATAAAATAATACTTTAACATTTAAAATGTAAATGTACTGTAAATTTTAATTTTATGATAACTGTCAAGATTGTTTTACTTATTTTTAAAAACAATAAATAATTTTTTAGTATTCATTATATTTTGATTTAAATGGATTTTAAAAAAATAATATTTAATAACATTATATTGCAAGATTTAAATTAAACGCTATAATAATATATAATAAATATAATCTAAAAATTGAAAAAATACAGCAATATTTATTTGTAAAGTTAAATAAACTATTTTTTTTGTTGACAATATAAATGTCAAGTCAAGCAAAATATATTTGACATCATTTTAATTTATTCAGCCATTCATTCATTTCTATGGGCTTTAGTAGTGCTTTAGTGTAATAGTAATGCTTTTATCCTATTTTGTTAATTAGATTTAAAATTTGATATTTTACTCAGAAAAAAATAAATTTATTTATTTATATATTCTGTATATTTAAATAAATATCGTAAATATATAAAAATTTATTTTGAGGAAAACTTTTTAATATTTATTATTGAAAAATATTTTTGGTATTCTAAAACTATTTTCTATAAAAAACTATTTATATTTCAATCAAAAATATAATATTATACATATACTACACGCTATAACTTATAACTCAAAAAACAAATAATATATTACATAAATTTTATAAATATATTTATATTAAAATATTAAACAAATAGTAAAACCAACAAAAATACAGTACTAATATAAACAACAAACATCATAATTAAATAGACAAATATTTACATTTCAAAAAACATATTTTATTAAATAATAATTTATGCCTCGTTTAACAATATTTATATAATWTTTTTTCAAATATTTTACAAGGGTATTAAATAAATATCATACAATATAAAAAAATTTTATAACAAATACTGTATAATATATATATATACTATAGTATATTATACAATACTTAACAATTTATGTGTTTCGTTATTCACATTAAATATTAGATATAAGTTTATATATATATATATATATATATATATATATATATATATAAAACAATGGCTTATAATTAAAGAAAAATGAGATAAAATATATTGTATAACATAAATTATATTAATAAATATGTGCCATTCAAACATAGTTTATCGTTAGGTAACACATAATGACTTATTGGTATATAAGCAGTATATATATATTATATACTGTATATAAACTATAGATTTCAATGTTTTTTATGTATTTTATGTCCAAAAAATTGAATGCATTTGACGTCAATATATATATATATATATATATTTGTTTTGTTTGTCGTATTATTTCTTTTAATCACAAAACTTCAAAAGTCTTTTTCATCCATTCATTCAGTTCATTCATTAATAGCTTGAGTTAAGAGATTGAAATCGTAAGGAAAAAAAGTCAGCAAAAAGTATGGAGAAAAATATCGATTTAAAATAGTACTGAAAAAAATAAATCAGTGATTCTTATTATATATAGAAAATACACCAACACTTGAGCACTGGTAGTATCGATAAAAAAGAAAACACACTGAATGTTGTCTACAGTAATGTTGAGCTCATGGATGTCAAGTATGGACTATCGTTTGTAAATCACTGACACTCATAATATGATATCGTTGTTGTTGTTGTTGATGTTGTTGTTGATGATGTTGTTGAACATTGTTAAGCATCACATTATACGCTGGACTGGCTCTCATGTAAACACCACCGCCGGAGATGTCGTCACCAATACCGTCACTGGTAGTGATCAATATATCCAAATTGGTGTCGTTGATCATGTCGTTGTCAATAGTGGTAAACTCTTTACAGGCAATATCATTGCCAGTAAATGATTGACTATCATGTAGTTGCTGTTGCTGGTGATGGTGCTGTTGAGGATCGGTATTATCATCATTTGTTGAATGCGACGACTGCTGCTGCTGCTGGGGCTCCATATGGTAGACCAGATAACCTACGATAACTGTCGCACCCGATATAAAATAAAGCCAATGAAATTTGTAACGAAATAAATATAAGCCGACAATCARTGTATAGAAATCAGACGACAGTATCGATATATTAACGGCCGACGAGTCGCTCAGTTGTATGGCTAATGGCATTGTTATATAAACTAATAGCTGAGACATTGAAAAGCCGATTACCAAAGATATTTCCTGCCATTTCTCAAAATTGATTGCATTCACCAATTCATGTCTTTCTAATACATATCTGAATAGTACACACACAACAAATACAGATGGATATTATTATTATTATTATTATTTTACTTAATACTATGTTATATAATGTTATATAACTTTAATATATATAAATATAGTATAGTATAGAATAGTATAAGAAACAGAAAATAAAAAACTTAATAAATATAATGAAATTAAATATATATATAATATAAGCCTTTAGTATACAGTACGTTATGTACAGTATAGCTATTAATGTTGTCAAAAATAGTTGACTGAAAAAAACTAGCAAACATAAGTAAATTGTGTGCAAAATAATATTATGTAATTTATTAATTCCCATTTTTTATGATAAATTATTTTTAGAGAAAATATTAAATTTAGTAGAGTATAACATATAGTTTTTTTGAGTGTAATATTTTCTAACATATATAATACTGTATAAAGAAACTTTAGCTAAGAAAATGTGTACATTAATAAAGTTTATATTGAAAAAAATTATATCTATTAAATGAGTATTTTATTCACTGAAAATCTCATTTACRATATTAACTAAGCATTTAGATAGAGATACGAAAAAAAGAGACTATCAAACTGAGAATCGAGAGGAAAGGGAGGAAAAATTGAAAGCAATAGGAAAACGGAAAGCAATTTATAATTTAATTATACATACAATTGAATGCCATTAAGTATAGCTCCGAATAGTCCAATCATTCCGAGAAACTCTACAATACTATAGCATTTGACACAATACTCTTCAAACACATTGCTTATACCATAGAGTGCGGCACCCAATAGACACAACATATCTCCCAGAAAACGGTTCTTCGCTGATGTAGTAGTAGTAGTAGTGGTTGTTGATGTTGTTGTCATTTATGTTGATATTTGGTGTGTTGTTATGTCACAGGAAATGATATGTATTCATAAATGTCAGAGAAAAGGAGTATTTTTCTATTTAATATTATTATTTATATACAGTAAATGTCTGTACATTATTGGACATCTATTTATTATATAAATATTTTGTGTTGTTATGAGATATCAGTAATTACATATATAAATATATATAAGTCATATACAGTATATTGTATATAAATAGTATACTCTATAAATATATATATATATATATATATATATAATTAATCTTAAAACTAWAGTTATGTATCGAGAAAGAAAAAATGGGTTATTACGTATAGTATCAGTGCTAATGTCATCGATGTCGGCCCAAACTAGACATCCGATACCGATTAAGGCAATACATGAGCCGAGTATATGAAGTAAACCGAACCTAACTTTGATGAAGAGCCAGGAAAGAGCTAATACTGTCGGCAATTGTATACAATCTAAAAGCTATATTATATATATAGAGAAAGAGAGAAAGAGAAAGAGAGAGTTAGGGGGAGTGAGTGAGAGAGTACAATATAAATAAATCAATTGAACATCACACAAATTAGATAACAGAGAGAGAGAGAGAGAGAGAGAGAGAGAGAGAGAGAGAGAGAGAGAGAGAGAGAGAGAGAGAGAGAGAGAGAGAGAGAGAGAGAGAGAGAGAGAGAGAGAGAGAGAGAGAGAGAGAGAGAGAGAGAGAGAGAG